GTAACGGCTCTAGACAGAAGACAAGTTTTGGCCAATTGAGACAAACACGTAACGGCTCTAGACAGAAGACAAGTTTTGGCCAACTGAGACAAACACGTAACGGCTCTAGACAGAAGACAAGTTTTGGCCAACTGAGACAAACACGTAACGGCTCTAGACAGAAGACAAGTTTTGGCCAACTTAGAGGACGTAACGGCTCTAGACAGAAGACAAGTTTTGGCCAACTGAGAGGACGTAACGGCTCTAGACAGAAGACAAGTTTTGGCCAACTGAGACAAACACGTAACGGCTCTAGACAGAAGACAAGTTTTGGCCAACTGAGACAAACACGTAACGGCTCTAGACAGAAGACAAGTTTTGGCCAATTGAGACAAACACGTAACGGCTCTAGACAGAAGACAAGTTTTGGCCAACTGAGACAAACACGTAACGGCTCTAGACAGAAGACAAGTTTTGGCCAACTGAGACAAACACGTAAAGGCTCTAGACAGAAGACAAGTTTTGGCCAACTGAGACAAACACGTAACGGCTCTAGACAGAAGACAAGTTTTGGCCAACTGAGACAAACACGTAACGGCTCTAGACAGAAGACAAGTTTTGGCCAACTGAGACAAACACGTAACGGCTCTAGACAGAAGACAAGTTTTGGCCAACTGAGACAAACACGTAACGGCTCTAGACAGAAGACAAGTTTTGGCCAACTGAGAGGACGTAACGGCTCTAGACAGAAGACAAGTTTTGGCCAACTGAGAGGACGTAACGGCTCTAGACAGAAGACAAGTTTTGGCCATCTGAGACACGTAACGGCTCTAGACAGAAGACAAGTTTTGGCCAACTGAGACACGTAACGGCTCTAGACAGAAGACAAGTTTTGGCCAACTGAGACACGTAACGGCTCTAGACAGAAGACAAGTTTTGGCCAACTGAGAGAAACACGTAACGGCTCTAGACAGAAGACAAGTTTTGGCCAACTGAGACAAACACGTAACGGCTCTAGACAGAAGACAAGTTTTGGCCAATTGAGACAAAACACGTAACGGCTCTAGACAGAAGACAAGTTTTGGCCAACTGAGACAAACACGTAACGGCTCTAGACAGAAGACAAGTTTTGGCCAACTGAGACAAACACGTAACGGCTCTAGACAGAAGACAAGTTTTGGCCAACTGAGACAAACACGTAACGGCTCTAGACAGAAGACAAGTTTTGGCCAACTGAGAGGACGTAACGGCTCTAGACAGAAGACAAGTTTTGGCCAACTGAGAGGACGTAACGGCTCTAGACAGAAGACAAGTTTTGGCCATCTGAGACACGTAACGGCTCTAGACAGAAGACAAGTTTTGGCCAACTGAGACACGTAACGGCTCTAGACAGAAGACAAGTTTTGGCCAACTGAGACAAACACGTAACGGCTCTAGACAGAAGACAAGTTTTGGCCAACTGAGACAAACACGTAACGGCTCTAGACAGAAGACAAGTTTTGGCCAACTGAGACGACGTAACGGCTCTAGACAGAAGACAAGTTTTGGCCAACTGAGACACGTAACGGCTCTAGACAGAAGACAAGTTTTGGCCAACTGAGACACGTAACGGCTCTAGACAGAAGACAAGTTTTGGCCAACTGAGACACGTAACGGCTCTAGACAGAAGACAAGTTTTGGCCAACTGAGACAAACACGTAACGGCTCTAGACAGAAGACAAGTTTTGGCCAATTGAGACAAACACGTAACGGCTCTAGACAGAAGACAAGTTTTGGCCAACTGAGACACGTAACGGCTCTAGACAGAAGACAAGTTTTGGCCAACTGAAACACGTAACGGCTCTAGACAGAAGACAAGTTTTGGCCAACTGAGACACGTAACGGCTCTAGACAGAAGACAAGTTTTGGCCAACTGAGACAAACACGTAACGGCTCTAGACAGAAGACAAGTTTTGGCCAATTGAGACAAACTTGTAACGGCTCTAGACAGAAGACAAGTTTTGGCCAACTGAGACACGTAACGGCTCTAGACAGAAGACAAGTTTTGGCCAACTGAGACACGTAACGGCTCTAGACAGAAGACAAGTTTTGGCCAACTGAGACAAACACGTAACGGCTCTAGACAGAAGACAAGTTTTGGCCAACTGAGACACGTAACGGCTCTAGACAGAAGACAAGTTTTGGCCAACTGAAACACGTAACGGCTCTAGACAGAAGACAAGTTTTGGCCAACTGAGACACGTAACGGCTCTAGACAGAAGACAAGTTTTGGCCAACTGAGACAAACACGTAACGGCTCTAGACAGAAGACAAGTTTTGGCCAATTGAGACAAACTTGTAACGGCTCTAGACAGAAGACAAGTTTTGGCCAACTGAGACACGTAACGGCTCTAGACAGAAGACAAGTTTTGGCCAACTGAGACACGTAACGGCTCTAGACAGAAGACAAGTTTTGGCCAACTGAGACAAACACGTAACGGCTCTAGACAGAAGACAAGTTTTGGCCAACTTAGAGGACGTAACGGCTCTAGACAGAAGACAAGTTTTGGCCAACTGAGAGGACGTAACGGCTCTAGACAGAAGACAAGTTTTGGCCAACTGAGACAAACACGTAACGGCTCTAGACAGAAGACAAGTTTTGGCCAACTGAGACAAACACGTAACGGCTCTAGACAGAAGACAAGTTTTGGCCAATTGAGACAAACACGTAACGGCTCTAGACAGAAGACAAGTTTTGGCCAACTGAGACAAACACGTAACGGCTCTAGACAGAAGACAAGTTTTGGCCAACTGAGACAAACACGTAACGGCTCTAGACAGAAGACAAGTTTTGGCCAACTGAGACAAACACGTAACGGCTCTAGACAGAAGACAAGTTTTGGCCAACTGAGACAAACACGTAACGGCTCTAGACAGAAGACAAGTTTTGGCCAACTGAGACAAACACGTAACGGCTCTAGACAGAAGACAAGTTTTGGCCAACTGAGACAAACACGTAACGGCTCTAGACAGAAGACAAGTTTTGGCCAACTGAGAGGACGTAACGGCTCTAGACAGAAGACAAGTTTTGGCCAACTGAGAGGACGTAACGGCTCTAGACAGAAGACAAGTTTTGGCCAACTGAGAGGACGTAACGGCTCTAGACAGAAGACAAGTTTTGGCCAACTGAGACAAACACGTAACGGCTCTAGACAGAAGACAAGTTTTGGCCAACTGAGACACGTAACGGCTCTAGACAGAAGACAAGTTTTGGCCAACTGAGACAAACACGTAACGGCTCTATACAGAAGACAAGTTTTGGCCATCTGAGACACGTAACGGCTCTAGACAGAAGACAAGTTTTGGCCAACTGAGACACGTAACGGCTCTAGACAGAAGACAAGTTTTGGCCAACTGAGACACGTAACGGCTCTAGACAGAAGACAAGTTTTGGCCAACTGAGAGAAACACGTAACGGCTCTAGACAGAAGACAAGTTTTGGCCAACTGAGACAAACACGTAACGGCTCTAGACAGAAGACAAGTTTTGGCCAATTGAGACAAACACGTAACGGCTCTAGACAGAAGACAAGTTTTGGCCAACTGAGACAAACACGTAACGGCTCTAGACAGAAGACAAGTTTTGGCCAACTGAGACAAACACGTAACGGCTCTAGACAGAAGACAAGTTTTGGCCAACTGAGACAAACACGTAACGGCTCTAGACAGAAGACAAGTTTTGGCCAACTGAGAGGACGTAACGGCTCTAGACAGAAGACAAGTTTTGGCCAACTGAGAGGACGTAACGGCTCTAGACAGAAGACAAGTTTTGGCCATCTGAGACACGTAACGGCTCTAGACAGAAGACAAGTTTTGGCCAACTGAGACACGTAACGGCTCTAGACAGAAGACAAGTTTTGGCCAACTGAGACAAACACGTAACGGCTCTAGACAGAAGACAAGTTTTGGCCAACTGAGACAAACACGTAACGGCTCTAGACAGAAGACAAGTTTTGGCCAACTGAGACGACGTAACGGCTCTAGACAGAAGACAAGTTTTGGCCAACTGAGACACGTAACGGCTCTAGACAGAAGACAAGTTTTGGCCAACTGAGACACGTAACGGCTCTAGACAGAAGACAAGTTTTGGCCAACTGAGACACGTAACGGCTCTAGACAGAAGACAAGTTTTGGCCAACTGAGACAAACACGTAACGGCTCTAGACAGAAGACAAGTTTTGGCCAATTGAGACAAACACGTAACGGCTCTAGACAGAAGACAAGTTTTGGCCAACTGAGACACGTAACGGCTCTAGACAGAAGACAAGTTTTGGCCAACTGAAACACGTAACGGCTCTAGACAGAAGACAAGTTTTGGCCAACTGAGACACGTAACGGCTCTAGACAGAAGACAAGTTTTGGCCAACTGAGACAAACACGTAACGGCTCTAGACAGAAGACAAGTTTTGGCCAATTGAGACAAACTTGTAACGGCTCTAGACAGAAGACAAGTTTTGGCCAACTGAGACACGTAACGGCTCTAGACAGAAGACAAGTTTTGGCCAACTGAGACACGTAACGGCTCTAGACAGAAGACAAGTTTTGGCCAACTGAGACAAACACGTAACGGCTCTAGACAGAAGACAAGTTTTGGCCAACTGAGACACGTAACGGCTCTAGACAGAAGACAAGTTTTGGCCAACTGAAACACGTAACGGCTCTAGACAGAAGACAAGTTTTGGCCAACTGAGACACGTAACGGCTCTAGACAGAAGACAAGTTTTGGCCAACTGAGACAAACACGTAACGGCTCTAGACAGAAGACAAGTTTTGGCCAATTGAGACAAACTTGTAACGGCTCTAGACAGAAGACAAGTTTTGGCCAACTGAGACACGTAACGGCTCTAGACAGAAGACAAGTTTTGGCCAACTGAGACACGTAACGGCTCTAGACAGAAGACAAGTTTTGGCCAACTGAGACAAACACGTAACGGCTCTAGACAGAAGACAAGTTTTGGCCAACTGAGACGACAAATTACTCACGAGCAGACGGTGGGCGTGTCTGAGACGGGCCTAGCTGAGCCTGGGGTCAGGTCCTGGCAGGCACCCAGCGCCTTTAGACAGTCTGAAACGAGGCACAATCTCCATTAATTGCAAACTCTTTCACGTGGTGCACGCAGTGTTTCTTTCGGACCTTTTTCTCCGGGAGGGGAGGGGGAGGGGGTCACTTGTAACTTTCGTGGCTGGGGACGGACTACATTTTTTGGAGGTAGACTCTGGGATCATGGCACTCATCATTCAGCTATGACGTCACTGCAGACAACTCACAAATGTGACGAGGTGTATGACGTAGCTATCATACTCCCCACCCTCCCACAAGAGCTACTTGAGTTAGCCCGAAACATTGACCTACCAAGTGAGAGGTTGTCTTCTGTCGCTTGTCGTCCGATGTCCTCATTCAACTTGGGGATTTCTGTTAGAATCATTTCATCATTGGTTGATACTGGGGTTTCCTTCGGTCCAACACTTCCCTCAGGGTTAGGTGGGGATAGAGTGCCCGCGTCTGCTTCAGATTTTTCTTTAACAGTTAAGGAACTACCTGCTTCTGTAGGCAGGGGCGGCAAGTATGTCGACAGGTCTGTCGACGGATTGCAAATTTGTAGAATACACACAAACAACCCCCATACGACCCAGCCCTCCATACGATTTAACCCCCCCCCCCCCCGCCCCCCACACGACCTAACCCCCCCCCCACACACACACACGATCTAACCCACAAAAAGTGGTCTACCGAAACCTACCGTCAGCTGAAGTTGAGCCCTCATCATAATCGTCATTACCCCAGTCATCATAGCCCTCATCACCCGAGTAATCTGCTCAAGTTTTAAGTTCAAAATGTGCTTGTATAAATTAATGTAAAACATAAACTTAACCAAAATGTGCTTGTATAAATTAATGTAAAACATAAACTTAACCAAAATGTGCTTGTATAAATTAATGTAAAACATAAACTTAACCAAAATGCGCTTGTATAAATTAATGTAAAACATAAACTTAACCAAAATATACTAGTATAAATTAATGTAAAACATAAACTTAACCAAAATGTGCTAGTATAAATTAATGTAAAACATAAACTTAACCAAAATGTGCTTGTATAAATTACTGTAAAACATAAACTTAACCAAAATGTGCTTGTATACATTTGTTAAGGTACAAATATTATAAAAATGTAGGGCCTACTAAATTGTATTAATTAACAGCATCCCATGTTTTCTTAAATTATATTTAAACTACAAAAAGAATGTGTTGTTACCTGAAAAATTCAAATCTGTCAAAAGAAAAGAAAAGTAAATATTGTATTCATCGTTGATTTTCATATCGTTTTTTAAGTATATGTAATATTAATTTGTTCATAAAATGTACAAAAAAGATATTATGGATATTATTCCAGTTACAACATGTATGTTGTATTCCTGTTTTAAAGCATTTTTCATTTTGAATTTGATGAAGTGCTTAAAGTGTAAACAAACAGTATCGTGCTATCCCTCATCTACTACAAACTACTACATCTCGTGCTAACCCTCATCTACTACAAACTACTACATCTTTGACACATTGTTACGTGAGGTTAGAGCTGCGTGGAGAACTTGACTTCTATTCCGTCGGTTCTGTGTTTGAGATCCATTTCATTAACATACAAGTCATTTTTATTTATCTATAGCGCTCCCCCACCCCCTAGTTGGTCTCCCCCACCCCCTAGTTTGTCTCCCCCACCCCCTAGCTGGTCTCCGGTGTAAAATCCCACCGTCCGCCACTTTTTTCCAACGGGAAAGTGGGTCGTCTAGTGTATATATATATATATACATATATATATATATATATATATATATATATATATATATATATATATATATATATATATATAACAAAGTAATAAAAAGTAACCCCCCCTCCCCCCAATGTAATCTTTTTTTAGAGGGAAGTAATTTTGTTTTCCTAATTTCTCAAGGGACGTAATGAGTGCCAAAGGACTAAATGTATATAATTTTCAGACACAATTAGAATTTTTGTGAATGGTGATACATTTTCTTTAATTTTGTTTAATCCACATGCAGTAAATTAACACTATAAGTTTGGAAAATGAAATTTGTTTTAAAAAACCTTAATTCTAGTTTGTTTGTTTTTTACCAGGGGTTGGTCCGTCCGTCCGCCCGCAACATACACAATTAAACTTGACCTACCACACGTGAGACCACGACTAGCCAGCTGCCTGTCGAGTGTTGACCGGATGTAGAACAGCTCTGCCCCACTCAAGTCGCAGGCCCTGTCCACACACCCCAGCAGGGACTGGAGTTCACTGGGGATAGTTGGTAGGTTTTGTTGTCAGATGGTTTAGCTCACTGGGGATAGTTGGTAGGTTTTGTTGTCAGAGGGTTTAGCTCACTGGGGATAGTTGGTAGGTTTTGTTGTCAGAGGGTTTAGCTCACTGGGGATAGTTGGTAGGTTTTGTTGTCAGAGGGTTTAGCTCACTGGGGATAGTTGGTAGGTTTTGTTGTCAGAGGGTTTAACTCACTGGGGATAGTTGGTAGGTTTTGTTGTCAGAGGGTTTAGCTCACTAAACAATTGGTAGGTTTTGTTGTCAGAGGGTTTAGCTCACTAAACAATTGGTAGGTTTTGTTGTCAGAGGGTTTAGCTCACTGGGGATAGTTGGTAGGTTTTGTTGTCAGAGGGTTTAACTCACTGGGGATAGTTGGTAGGTTTTGATGTCAGAGGGTTTAGCTAACTGGGGATAGTTGGTAGGTTTTGTTGTCAGAGGGTTTAGCTCACTGGGGATAGTTGGTAGGTTTTGTTGTCAGAGGGTTTAGCTCACTAAACAATTGGTAGGTTTTGTTGTCAGAGGGTTTAGCTCACTGGGGATAGTTGGTAGGTTTTGTTGTCAGAGGGTTTAGCTCACTGGGGATAGTTGGTAGGTTTTGTTGTCAGAGGGTTTAGCTAACTGGGGATAGTTGGTAGGTTTTGTTGTCAGAGGGTTTAACTCACTGGGGATAGTTGGTAGGTTTTGTTGTCAGAGGGTTTAGCTCACTAAACAATTGGTAGGTTTTGTTGTCAGAGGGTTTAGCTCACTAAACAATTGGTAGGTTTTGTTGTCAGAGGGTTTAGCTCACTGGGGATAGTTGGTAGGTTTTGTTGTCAGAGGGTTTAACTCACTGGGGATAGTTGGTAGGTTTTGATGTCAGAGGGTTTAGCTAACTGGGGATAGTTGGTAGGTTCTGTTGTCAGAGGGTTTAGCTCACTGGGGATAGTTGGTAGGTTTTGTTGTCAGATGGTTTAGCTCACTGGGGATAGTTGGTAGGTTTTGTTGTCAGAGGGTTTAGCTCACTGGGGATAGTTGGTAGGTTTTGTTGTCAGAGGGTTTAGCTCACTGGGGATAGTTGGTAGGTTTTGTTGTCAGAGGGTTTAGCTCACTGGGGATAGTTGGTAGGTTTTGTTGTCAGAGGGTTTAACTCACTGGGGATAGTTGGTAGGTTTTGTTGTCAGAGGGTTTAGCTCACTAAACAATTGGTAGGTTTTGTTGTCAGAGGGTTTAGCTCACTAAACAATTGGTAGGTTTTGTTGTCAGAGGGTTTAGCTCACTGGGGATAGTTGGTAGGTTTTGTTGTCAGAGGGTTTAACTCACTGGGGATAGTTGGTAGGTTTTGATGTCAGAGGGTTTAGCTAACTGGGGATAGTTGGTAGGTTTTGTTGTCAGAGGGTTTAGCTCACTGGGGATAGTTGGTAGGTTTTGTTGTCAGAGGGTTTAGCTCACTAAACAATTGGTAGGTTTTGTTGTCAGAGGGTTTAGCTCACTGGGGATAGTTGGTAGGTTTTGTTGTCAGAGGGTTTAGCTCACTGGGGATAGTTGGTAGGTTTTGTTGTCAGAGGGTTTAGCTAACTGGGGATAGTTGGTAGGTTTTGTTGTCAGAGGGTTTAACTCACTGGGGATAGTTGGTAGGTTTTGTTGTCAGAGGGTTTAGCTCACTAAACAATTGGTAGGTTTTGTTGTCAGAGGGTTTAGCTCACTAAACAATTGGTAGGTTTTGTTGTCAGAGGGTTTAGCTCACTGGGGATAGTTGGTAGGTTTTGTTGTCAGAGGGTTTAACTCACTGGGGATAGTTGGTAGGTTTTGATGTCAGAGGGTTTAGCTAACTGGGGATAGTTGGTAGGTTCTGTTGTCAGAGGGTTTAGCTCACTGGGGATAGTTGGTAGGTTTTGTTGTCAGAGGGTTTAGCTCACTAAACAATTGGTAGGTTTTGTTGTCAGAGGGTTTAGCTCACTGGGGATAGTTGGTAGGTTTTGTTGTCAGAGGGTTTAGCTCACTGGGGATAGTTGGTAGGTTTTGTTGTCAGAGGGTTTAGCTCACTGGAATAGTTGGTAGGTTTTGTTGTCAGAGGGTTTAGCTCACTGGGGATAGTTGGTAGGTTTTGATGTCAGAGGGTTTAGCTAACTGGGGATAGTTGGTAGGTTTTGTTGTCAGAGGGTTTAGCTCACTGGGGATAGTTGGTAGGTTTTGTTGTCAGAGGGTTTAGCTCACTAAACAATTGGTAGGTTTTGTTGTCAGAGGGTTTAGCTCACTGGGGATAGTTGGTAGGTTTTGTTGTCAGAGGGTTTAGCTCACTAAACAATTGGTAGGTTTTGTTGTCAGAGGGTTTAGCTCACTGGGGATAGTTGGTAGGTTTTGTTGTCAGAGGGTTTAGCTAACTGGGGATAGTTGGTAGGTTTTGTTGTCAGAGGGTTTAACTCACTGGGGATAGTTGGTAGGTTTTGTTGTCAGAGGGTTTAGCTCACTAAACAATTGGTAGGTTTTGTTGTCAGAGGGTTTAGCTCACTAAACAATTGGTAGGTTTTGTTGTCAGAGGGTTTAGCTCACTGGGGATAGTTGGTAGGTTTTGTTGTCAGAGGGTTTAACTCACTGGGGATAGTTGGTAGGTTTTGATGTCAGAGGGTTTAGCTAACTGGGGATAGTTGGTAGGTTTTGTTGTCAGAGGGTTTAGCTCACTGGGGATAGTTGGTAGGTTTTGTTGTCAGAGGGTTTAGCTCACTAAACAATTGGTAGGTTTTGTTGTCAGAGGGTTTAGCTCACTGGGGATAGTTGGTAGGTTTTGTTGTCAGAGGGTTTAGCTCACTGGGGATAGTTGGTAGGTTTTGTTGTCAGAGGGTTTAGCTCACTGGGGATAGTTGGTAGGTTTTGTTGTCAGAGGGTTTAGCTCACTGGGGATAGTTGGTAGGTTTTGATGTCAGAGGGTTTAGCTAACTGGGGATAGTTGGTAGGTTTTGTTGTCAGAGGGTTTAGCTCACTGGGGATAGTTGGTAGGTTTTGTTGTCAGAGGGTTTAGCTCACTAAACAATTGGTAGGTTTTGTTGTCAGAGGGTTTAGCTCACTGGGGATAGTTGGTAGGTTTTGTTGTCAGAGGGTTTAGCTCACTAAACAATTGGTAGGTTTTGTTGTCAGAGGGTTTAGCTCACTGGGGATAGTTGGTAGGTTTTGTTGTCAGAGGGTTTAGCTCACTGTGGATAGTTGGTAGGTTTTGTTGTCAGAGGGTTTAGCTCACTGGGGATAGTTGGTAGGTTTTGTTGTCAGAGGGTTTAGCTCACTGGGGATAGTTGGTAGGTTTTGTTGTCAGAGGGTTTAGCTCACTGGGGATAGTTGGTAGGTTTTGTTGTCAGAGGGTTTAGCTCACTGGGGATAGTTGGTAGGTTTTGTTGTCAGAGGGTTTAGCTCACTGGGGATAGTTGGTAGGTTTTGATGTCAGAGGGTTTAGCTAACTGGGGATAGTTGGTAGTTTTTGTTGTCAGAGGGTTTAGATCACTGGGGATAGTTGGTAGGTTTTGTTGTCAGAGGGTTTAGCTCACTGGGGATAGTTGGTAGGTTTTGTTGTCAGAGGGTTTAGCTCACTGGGGATAGTTGGTAGGTTTTGTTGTCAGAGGGTTTAGCTCACTGGGGATAGTTGGTAGGTTTTGTTGTCAGAGGGTTTAGCTCACTAAACAATTGGTAGGTTTTGTTGTCAGAGGGTTTAGCTCACTGGGGATAGTTGGTAGGTTTTGTTGTCAGAGGGTTTAGCTCACTGGGGATAGTTGGTAGGTTTTGTTGTCAGAGGGTTTAGCTCACTGGGGATAGTTGGTAGGTTTTGTTGTCAGAGGGTTTAGCTCACTGGGGATAGTTGGTAGGTTTTGTTGTCAGAGGGTTTAGCTCACTGGGGATAGTTGGTAGGTTTTGTTGTCAGAGGGTTTAGCTCACTAAACAATTGGTAGGTTTTGTTGTCAGAGGGTTTAGCTCACTGGGGATAGTTGGTAGGTTTTGTTGTCAGAGGGTTTAGCTCACTGGGGATAGTTGGTAGGTTTTGTTGTCAGAGGGTTTAGCTCACTAAACAATTGGTAGGTTTTGTTGTCAGAGGGTTTAGCTCACTGGGGATAGTTGGTAGGTTTTGTTGTCAGAGGGTTTAGCTCACTGGGAATAGTTGGTAGGATTTGTTGTCAGAGGGTTTAGCTCACTTAGGATAGTTGGTAGGTTTTGTTGTCAGAGGGTTTAGCTCACTAAACAATTGGTAGGTTTTGTTGTCAGAGGGTTTAGCTCACTGGGGATAGTTGGTAGGTTTTGTTGTCAGAGGGTTTAGCTCACTGGGGATAGTTGGTAGGTTTTGTTGTCAGAGGGTTTAGCTCACTGGGGATAGTTGGTAGGTTTTGTTGTCAGAGGGTTTAACTCACTGGGGATAGTTGGTAGGATTTGTTGTCAGAGGGTTTAGCTCACTGGGGATAGTTGGTAGGTTTTGTTGTCAGAGGGTTTAACTCACTGGGGATAGTTGGTAGGTTTTGTTGTCAGAGGGTTTAGCTCACTGGGGATAGTTGGTAGGATTTGTTGTCAGAGGGTTTAGCTCACTGGGAATAGTTGGTAGGTTTTGTTGTCAGAGGGTTTAGCTCACTGGAGATAGTTGGTAGGTTTTGTTGTCAGAGGGTTTAGCTCACTAAACAATTGGTAGGTTTTGTTGTCAGAGGGTTTAGCTCACTGGGGATAGTTGGTAGGTTTTGTTGTCAGAGGGTTTAGCTCACTGGGATAGTTGGTAGGTTTTGTTGTCAGAGGGTTTAGCTCACTGGGGATAGTTGGTAGGTTTTGTTGTCAGAGGGTTTAGCTCACTGGGGATAGTTGGTAGGTTTTGTTGTCAGAGGGTTTAGCTCACTGGGGATAGTTGGTAGGTTTTGTTGTCAGAGGGTTTAGCTCACTGGGGATAGTTGGTAGGTTTTGTTGTCAGAGGGTTTAGCTCACTAAACAATTGGTAGGTTTTGTTGTCAGAGGGTTTAGCTCACTGGGGATAGTTGGTAGGTTTTGTTGTCAGAGGGTTTAGCTCACTGGGGATAGTTGGTAGGTTTTGTTGTCAGAGGGTTTAGCTCACTGGGGATAGTTGGTAGGTTTTGTTGTCAGAGGGTTTAGCTCACTGGGGATAGTTGGTAGGTTTTGTTGTCAGAGGGTTTAGCTCACTGGGGATAGTTGGTAGGTTTTGTTGTCAGAGGGTTTAGCTCACTAAACAATTGGTAGGTTTTGTTGTCAGAGGGTTTAGCTCACTGGGGATAGTTGGTAGGTTTTGTTGTCAGAGGGTTTAGCTCACTGGGGATAGTTGGTAGGTTTTGTTGTCAGAGGGTTTAGCTCACTAAACAATTGGTAGGTTTTGTTGTCAGAGGGTTTAGCTCACTGGGGATAGTTGGTAGGTTTTGTTGTCAGAGGGTTTAGCTCACTGGGGATAGTTGGTAGGATTTGTTGTCAGAGGGTTTAGCTCACTTAGGATAGTTGGTAGGTTTTGTTGTCAGAGGGTTTAGATCACTGGGGATAGTTGGTAGGTTTTGTTGTCAGAGGGTTTAGCTCACTGGGGATAGTTGGTAGGTTTTGTTGTCAGAGGGTTTAGCTCACTGGGGATAGTTGGTAGGTTTTGTTGTCAGAGGGTTTAGCTCACTGGGGATAGTTGGTAGGTTTTGTTGTCAGAGGGTTTAGCTCACTAAACAATTGGTAGGTTTTGTTGTCAGAGGGTTTAGCTCACTGGGGATAGTTGGTAGGTTTTGTTGTCAGAGGGTTTAGCTCACTGGGGATAGTTGGTAGGTTTTGTTGTCAGAGGGTTTAGCTCACTGGGGATAGTTGGTAGGTTTTGTTGTCAGAGGGTTTAGCTCACTGGGGATAGTTGGTAGGTTTTGTTGTCAGAGGGTTTAGCTCACTGGGGATAGTTGGTAGGTTTTGTTGTCAGAGGGTTTAGCTCACTAAACAATTGGTAGGTTTTGTTGTCAGAGGGTTTAGCTCACTGGGGATAGTTGGTAGGTTTTGTTGTCAGAGGGTTTAGCTCACTGGGGATAGTTGGTAGGTTTTGTTGTCAGAGGGTTTAGCTCACTAAACAATTGGTAGGTTTTGTTGTCAGAGGGTTTAGCTCACTGGGGATAGTTGGTAGGTTTTGTTGTCAGAGGGTTTAGCTCACTGGAGATAGTTGGTAGGATTTGTTGTCAGAGGGTTTAGCTCACTTAGGATAGTTGGTAGGTTTTGTTGTCAGAGGGTTTAGCTCACTAAACAATTGGTAGGTTTTGTTGTCAGAGGGTTTAGCTCACTGGGGATAGTTGGTAGGTTTTGTTGTCAGAGGGTTTAGCTCACTGGGGATAGTTGGTAGGTTTTGTTGTCAGAGGGTTTAGCTCACTGGGGATAGTTGGTAGGTTTTGTTGTCAGAGGGTTTAACTCACTGGGGATAGTTGGTAGGTTTTGTTGTCAGAGGGTTTAGCTCACTGGGGATAGTTGGTAGGATTTGTTGTCAGAGGGTTTAGCTCACTGGGAATAGTTGGTAGGTTTTGTTGTCAGAGGGTTTAGCTCACTGGAGATAGTTGGTAGGTTTTGTTGTCAGAGGGTTTAGCTCACTAAACAATTGGTAGGTTTTGTTGTCAGAGGGTTTAGCTCACTGGGGATAGTTGGTAGGTTTTGTTGTCAGAGGGTTTAGCTCACTGGGATAGTTGGTAGGTTTTGTTGTCAGAGGGTTTAGCTCACTGGGGATAGTTGGTAGGTTTTGTTGTCAGAGGATTTAGCTCACTAAACAATTGGTAGGTTTTGTTGTCAGAGGGTTTAGCTCACTGGGGATAGTTGGTAGGTTTTGTTGTCAGAGGGTTTAGCTCACTGGGGATAGTTGGTAGGTTTTGTTGTCAGAGGGTTTAGCTCACTGGGGATAGTTGGTAGGTTTTGTTGTCAGAGGGTTTAGTTCACTGGGGATAGTTGGTAGGTTTTGTTGTCAGAGGGTTTAGCTCACTAAACAACTGGTAGGTTTTGTTGTCAGAGGGTTTAGCTCACTGGGGATAGTTGGTAGGTTTTGTTGTCAGAGGGTTTAGCTCACTGGGGATAGTTGGTAGGTTTTGTTGTCAGAGGGTTTAGCTCACTGGGGATAGTTGGTAGGTTTTGTTGTCAGAGGGTTTAGCTCACTGGGGATAGTTGGTATGTTTTGTTGTCAGGGGGTTTAGCTCACTGGGGATAGTTGGTAGGTTTTGTTGTCAGAGGGTTTAGCTCACTGGGGATAGTTGGTAGGTTTTGTTGTCAGAGGGTTTAGCTCACTGGGGATAGTTGGTAGGTTTTGTTGTCAGAGGGTTTAGCTCACTGGGGATAGTTGGTAGGTTTTGTTGTCAGAGGGTTTAGCTCACTAAACAATTGGTAGGTTTTGTTGTCAGAGGGTTTAGCTCACTGGGGATAGTTGGTAGGTTTTGTTGTCAGAGGGTTTAGCTCACTGGGGATAGTTGGTAGGTTTTGTTGTCAGAGGGTTTAGCTCACTAAACAATTGGTAGGTTTTGTTGTCAGAGGGTTTAGCTCACTAAACAATTGGTAGGTTTTGTTGTCAGAGGGTTTAGCTCACTGGGGATAGTTGGTAGGTTTTGTTGTCAGAGGGTTTAGCTCACTGGGGATAGTTGGTAGGTTTTGTTGTCAGAGGGTTTAGCTCACTAAACAATTGGTAGGTTTTGTTGTCAGAGGGTTTAGCTCACTGGGGATAATTGGTAGGTTTTGTTGTCAGAGGGTTTAGCTCACTGGGGATAATTGGTAGGTTTTGTTGTCAGAGGGTTTAGCTCACTAAACAATTGGTAGGTTTTGTTGTCAGAGGGTTTAGCTCACTGGGGATAGTTGGTAGGTTTTGTTGTCAGAGGGTTTAACTCACTGGGGATAGTTGGTAGGTTTTGTTGTCAGAGGGTTTAGCTCACTGGGGATAGTTGGTAGGTTTTGTTGTCAGAGGGTTTAGCTCACTGGGGATAGTTGGTAGGTTTTGTTGTCAGAGGTTTTAGCTCACTGGGGATAGCTGGTAGGTTTTGTTATCAGAGGGTTTAGCTCACTAAACGATTGGTAGGTTTTGTTGTCAGAGGGTTTAGCTCACTGGGGATAGTTGGTAGGTTTTGTTGTCAGAGGGTTTAGCTCACTAAACAATTGGTAGGTTTTGTTGTCAGAGGGTTTAGCTCACTGGGGATAGTTGGTAGATTTTGTTGTCAGAGGGTTTAGCTCACTGGGGATAGTTGGTAGGTTTTGTTGTCAGAGGGTTTAGCTCACTGGGGATAATTGGTAGGTTTTGTTGTCAGAGGGTTTAGCTCACTGGGGATAGTTGGTAGGTTTTGTTGTCAGAGGGTTTAGCTCACTAAACAACTGGTAGGTTTTGTTGTCAGAGGGTTTAGCTCACTGGGGATAGTTGGTAGGTTTTGTTGTCAGAGGGTTTAGCTCACTGGGGATAGTTGGTAGGTTTTGTTGTCAGAGGGTTTAGCTCACTGGGGATAGTTGGTAGGTTTTGTTGTCAGAGGGTTTAGCTCACTGGGGATAGTTGGTAGGTTTTGTTGTCAGAGGGTTTAACTCACTGGGGATAGTTGGTAGGTTTTGTTGTCAGAGGGTTTAGCTCACTAAACAATTGGTAGGTTTTGTTGTCAGAGGGTTTAGCTCACTGGGGATAGTTGGTAGGTTTTGTTGTCAGAGGGTTTAGCTCACTGGGATAGTTGGTAGGTTTTGTTGTCAGAGGGTTTAGCTCACTGGGGATAGTTGGTAGGTTTTGTTGTCAGAGGATTTAGCTCACTAAACAATTGGTAGGTTTTGTTGTCAGAGGGTTTAGCTCACTGGGGATAGTTGGTAGGTTTTGTTGTCAGAGGGTTTAGCTCACTGGGGATAGTTGGTAGGTTTTGTTGTCAGAGGGTTTAGCTCACTGGGGATAGTTGGTAGGTTTTGTTGTCAGAGGGTTTAGCTCACTAAACAATTGGTAGGTTTTGTTTTCAGAGGGTTTAGCTCACTGGGGATAGTTGGTAGGTTTTGTTGTCAGAGGGTTTAGCTCACTGGGGATAGTTGGTAGGTTTTGTTGTCAGAGGGTTTAGCTCACTGGGGATAGTTGGTAGGTTTTGTTGTCAGAGGGTTTAGCTCACTGGGGATAGTTGGTAGGTTTTGTTGTCAGAGGGTTTAGCTCACTGGGGATAATTGGTAGGTTTTGTTGTCAGAGGGTTTAGCTCACTGGGGATAGTTGGTAGGTTTTGTTGTCAGAGGGTTTAGCTCACTAAACAACTGGTAGGTTTTGTTGTCAGAGGGTTTAGCTCACTGGGGATAGTTGGTAGGTTTTGTTGTCAGAGGGTTTAGCTCACTGGGGATAATTGGTAGGTTTTGTTGTCAGAGGGTTTAGCTCACTAAACAATTGGTAGGTTTTGTTGTCAGAGGGTTTAGCTCTCTAAACAATTGGTAGGTTTTGTTGTCAGAGGGTTTAGCTCACTAAACAATTGGTAGGTTTTGTTGTCAGAGGGTTTAGCTCACTAAACAATTGGTAGGTTTTGTTGTCAGAGGGTTTAGCTCACTAAACAATTGGTAGGTTTTGTCATAATATTACTAGTCATGTGTAGGTGATTTTAAATGACATTTGTCATGAACTTATAAAAATCTGACATTTGTCATGAACTTACAAAAATCTGACATTTGTCATGAACTTACAGACAAAAATCTGTTGGCAAGTGGCCTGTCAATTTCTTCATGAAATTTTCTTTACACAGCTGGGTACCCAGGCTACATGCTAGAGTGGACAAAAGTGGACATTTCATAGGTTACATGCTAGAGTGGACAAAAGTGGACATTTCATAGGTTACATGCTAGAGTGGACAAAAGTGGACATTTCATAGGCTACATGCTAGAGTGGACAAAAGTGGACATTTCATAGGCTACATGCTAGAGTGGACAAAAGTGGACATTTCATAGGCTATATGTTAGATGGGACAAAGTAGACATTTCATAGACTACATTTTAGAGGTGACGAAAATAGATATTTCATAGACTAGAGAAAAAGAAACACATCTACTCACCATCAAACGGAGCAGCCACAACCACATTCACAACCACAACCAGAGTGAACATGAACAAACTATAAATAGACATTGTCCCTAATGTGTGGAAATTATGTCCCTAACATATGTGACATATGTCAGTCGCCAGAATGTCGTGTATGACAGACTGTCAATTGACACAAAAGTGACGAAACGTTTCTAAGAAATGCCACCTCTGGCAACATACACCTCTTGACTAAGAGCTATTAATAGCTCAGTCTACCAACTGGAGGCGTCATGCTTACGTCATGTGCATACACCGTTTTGGCCGAGTCACGTGACAACAGGGCTATTGCCGACCGGGCAGCCATTAAGTGGGCAATGCCTTACTTTGCGAAACTGCTTAGTTTTTCTTTCATACATTTGTGTGTGTTCTTGCTATGGTAGAATCCTAACTGCTGCCCAACTTTGCCGTTCCAATCCAATTCGCTTGTAGTTTCTGAACTTTTATATTTGTTTACATCATTAACTTCAAGAAATTGTAGCTTGTTGAAATACTTTTTAAACCCATGAAAAATGACGCGTTTGTTCTATTTTTCTTCTACTTCGTTCTTAATTTTTAGTGTTGGAAGGGGTCGAACTCGAGACTTTTCCGTTTAGCAACCATGAGCTTTTACCGACTCGACCACGCCGACCCTTTTCCAACGCAATTAAGGCCATTGACTCCGATTTCGGCCTGCTTTTCTTTTTGGATTTGCTTCCATAGCCTTTGTCCAACCAAGAACAAACTACAAGGCAGCAGTTGTTAGATTTTGGAGTTGTTCTATTGAATCTATTGAGATGACCAATCCATGGCACCCTAACACGCTCGAAAGAAATAATAAAATATAAGGAGCTGGTTTTTAAATGTTTATACTGCAACAGCAATAATTGTACAGTTTTAACGCATTTTTAACGTATTAAATCTATATTTGAGTTAGGGCTAGGGTTAGGGCAAGAGATGGTCTAAGAAAATAATAATTTATTTTTATCAGAGCAAAGATGAAGAATTTTAACAGAATTACTTATTAAACGTGCATTTAGAGTTTCTTCCAGGCATCTCTTCGGGGGGGGGGGGGGGGGGGGGGGGGGTGCGGGGGCAAAGCCCTCCCCCCCCCCGAAAAAATTCTACCGCCCCCTTCCCCCCCCCCCCCCCGAACGAAATGAAATTTATATAATTTATATACAAAATATATACTTTTAACAGTGTCCGCCCCCCGAAGAGAGTCTACCGCCCCCCCCCCCCCCGAAAATTTCAAGTGCCCCCCCCCCCCCTCCCGGAGAAAAAAGTCTGGAAGAAACACTGCGTGCATTTAGAGATAAGCGCGTTGTTTATTTCGTTTACCGTTTACTGAAATAAGCACTACACAAATCAGAAACCATTCATAATAAAATAACAAATCTATCAATATAAACTCGAAAGGTCTTAGAAAACATTTCATGTGGAACTGTATTATCTTTACTTTCTGGTAGAAACTTGGCTACTGGTCTAACCAAATATCGACTTCATGTAAAACGGATACACTTATTTTCATTTTAAAATATAAAATATAAAAATGTACATAAAAGTATTTAAAAATTTGGAATAAAAAGCTTAATATAGGTATGACATTACGCCCAGTTCGACCTCACCCACTAGGTCTACGCTCAGTTGTCTGTCGCCCATTAGATAATGTTTGTGACGGCAGACACGTGACTCCCTACCTACAGACCCACTTACAGCAGACGGCGCTACCCCCCTAGTTACACGGTGTTATCGGATCAACACGGGGGTTGGCCCTGGTTGCTGGCAGTGAATCACCCGGTGCAACCCCAGTCGTCTGATTTCAAACGATTTACCGTTATATAGCGTTATATACCGTTATATAGCGTTATATACATAGAAACGGCAATTCCCGTATTTAAAAAAACAACCCAGGAGCTAATGAGAATTAAATATCCATATCAAAGTACAGGCCGGTAAAATATACTTGGGGGAGGGGGTGGGTGGTAAAATAATTTTCGTAAATTCGCTACGATCTAATGGGGGTATTCTTAACTGACATAACTCTTTGAGGGAAGGGGGGGGGGGGTCAGGACATTTATGACTATGTGTGACTAAAATAAAACTTTTTTGTTTGCAGAAACCTCCCCAGGAGTGTCCTCAACAACTTCCCAAAGTTTTATGGCGATCGAATGAAAGCTGTGGTAATGCTTTAGGGACAGATAGACAGACCAGCAGTGTTTCTTCCAGACTTTTTTCTCCGGGGGGGGGGGGGGGGGCACTTGAAATTTTCGGGGGGGGGGGGCGGTAGACTTTCTTGGGGGGGGGAGGGGGCGGACACTGTTAAAATTTCATTTCGTTCGGGGGGGGGGGGGGAGAATTTTTTCGGGGGGGGGGGGGGCTTCGCCCCCCAGAAGAGATGCCTGGAAGAAACTGTGACGAAATAGATTTATATAGAAAAGAAAATATTTACTATTACCAGTCCCGTCCCCCCCCCGTCCCCCCCATAAAATTGAGCCACAAAAAGTCTGAAAGAAACACTGGACCTGTGCGGTCAAGGTAAATTGAAGGTCCTTTTTTTAAAATGCAATATGCATATGTTATTCTAACGGTAGCGATATGAGTAGACAGAACATTAGGTCATGCGTCTAAAATTAATTATTGATAACAATTGAACGTTATCATAATTAATATCCTGGAATTTCTTGTATGATATTGAGCAATGTGCCATGAAAATCAAACTAGGCTAAAGGGAGTTCACTCCATTTTATTTCGTAGAAAAAAATATCTTCTAAAAATATCTTTTGTCATGTGACTGTTTAAGATGGCGGCTGGCTTGTTTTACTAGCAATGTAAACAATGATGTACCACAAACAAAGGATAAAATAAATGTCATGGAACATGTTGAGTCGGCTGAGAATTTACAAACTGATGTGATGACCAATTCTGCTTCAAATGACTATTCAAAATACGGCATCACGGATGCTCCAAAGTCCACAAAAACAACAGCGCTAGGCAAGGTATTTTCTAGAATCTAGTTCTAGATTCTAACTAATTATAATTAATTACTAGTAATTAGCAATTACTAGGGTAATCTATCGTTTTAGGTACGTAAAATCGCCCGCGAAAAAGTTACCTCATTGTCAAGGCTTTAACTCTTTAAGCCCGTAATTATTTTCACGTTTTACCGGAATTATTTTTTTCACTCATTTTTTTTTCAGTACCCGTGCGGCTAAATGACCCATATCTTTTTACCCGTTAATTTAAACCCCACACATGATTGATAAAAAATAATCGTAATTGAATACACTACACACTGATATAAACTTTTAGGAATTATTTATTTACTGAAGAAAGATAATTACTTAGTTTTAAAGAAGAAAAAATAAAGAGTTGATTTTTTCGTGCAAAAATTACGCTTCTGTCGGGAAAATTAATAATAAGAATAACTTTTCATGAGTTCTTATTCATAGAAAACGAAAGTACGTCCATTTATCTACAAAAATCATGGATCGGATTAGTCTTAGTATAAATACTTTAATTTTCGTTAATTTTATAATGCGGCGACGTAAACGTTTAGACGCGGCCGCTGAACGGCGTTCCGCAGTGTTAAAAAATGCCGTTTTTCGAGTTGTTTTACAAAAACAATTCTATAAAATACAAAATCGATCTAACGAGAAAACTACAAGAAGTAAATACAACGAAAAATGGCCGCTCTAGCGTTATCATGACCTAGATTTACGATTAAAAACTTGGATTCCGAAAAACAACGAATTAAATAGAGAAATATTTATCAGACGCTGGGAGCGTCGTTACGGCATGGCAGGCCGGCGGACCGACCGCTGGGAGCGTCGTTACGGTCTTAAAGAGTTAAGTATATTTTGATATATTTGTGTCAAATATTATAGATACATGAATAATAAACCTAAATCAATGGCTAAATAATAGGCCTAAATAATATTAAATATATCAATCAAGAAATTAACTTTAAACAGCAGAGTTTGCGAGCAGGATTTGCTATATAAAAAGCGGCAATCTGTAAGTTAGAGTGGCTTCCCCTGAATCTTGCGCTATAAGTTTACAATAAAAAAAAATAAACAAGATGGCTGCTTTAGTAAATGAGCATGGTTGCATCTGTTGAAAACATCGCTAGTCTTCATTTATTACTGAAAAGTTTTAATTCAGTTGTTTAAAAACAGGTATATAAATGAAACAAGGAAACATTTTTGTATTTTTCAAAACATAAATCCTCCTCAAAATGTGAAATAATTATTAAAATTTAAGGAGTCACCTGTTTTTCACATTGTTAGTCGCTGGCAATTTTATGTACCTAAAACAATAGATTACATTAATTAGACTATACCCCCTACTTATTAAATTTATACTAGACCGATTAAATAATAACCAGTTAACTAGATCTAGTAATAACTAGGGTGTGGGGAAATTGCGAGACGCGAAAAGCGAAATGGCGAGGCGGGAAAATGCGAGAAGGTAATGCGAGACATACCTGCGAAATTAAGGGTAAATAGCGACACTTTTTGCGAAAAAAGTTTTTTCCTTTTTTTTTCCATCTTTATTTATTTAAATTATTTTTTTTTGTTTTAAAATAAACAAGCATTTAGCCATACCCTTTAACACGAGTGTTGTATGTTATTTTTTATCTAGATACTAAGAAGATAGATAGATCTATATCTAGATCTATCTATTTAAAAATCCTAACATCATTGCTGTGCTACTGTCATCGCCTGCACTTGTTAGCGAGAGGAAAATCCCGTCTCAGTCGGCATTAATTTAAAAATCTAGCCCGCTCATATTGATACAAACGTGAGCTGTGTCATTGTGAATTGGTATAATCTTGTCAGCAGGAGAGATATTTTGCAACATCTATTTATGGATTTTTGTACTTGCAAAAAGTGTAAAAGTATAAACAATTCTAAAACGTGCTATTTATTTTTTTATTAAGTAATTTTAATTACAAACAAAATTTACAAACAAAATCTTCTGAAACAGTCCTCAAACACACCTCGTGACACCATCTTTCACACATAGTACACCCAACCCAGTTCATTAGACTCCCATTTATACATTTTTCTTTTGCTACTTCTTCCAATCCACATTCACAACATTTCACATTCTCATCACAGTTGACCTCCTCGTTCATCCCACAAACAACACTGGCACCCATGTTCTCATCATCATCATCCGCACGCTCAACATCTGTTTTCCGTTTTTTATAATTTGTATTTTTTATCATTTCTGTAATTTTGGCAATGTCTTGCTCATTGTTGTCACCAGCAGTTGAGTTTTTTTAAAACGTCAATATTTTCCCAAAATCTTGTCTAATTTTGGTCAAAATAGAGTATTTTAATCAATTCCTATTACAATGTATTAAAACAGTTTTCTAAAACGCGAAAAAAACGTCTAAAATTATTTTTCTAACATTGCTTTTTTATAGTGTGACTTCACATTTACCCCCCCCCCCCCCCTCCCCCTCATCACACATCGTCATAAAATTACAGACCCCCCCCCCTACAAGTGTGACGTCATTTATGGAAGACCCCAAATAACACCACCACCAAAACCAAAAAATTCAGATAAGTTCAACTTGGTTTTAAAAATATTTGAAGTAGGCCCATAGCTTGCGATATAGCACGAGCAACTGATAATATCGGTGACGTCACTTTATTTTGTTGTATCCAAATGATGTAGGCATTTCCTTGTGCTTAGATTTATATGGTAAAAAAAGCTGGGAAAAAATCGTAGGCGGCGGCTATAAAAAAATTTCTATGCAACAATAGAAAATATGTTTGCGGCGGCAGCGGATCCGGGCACGGTGATCTTCAAAGACGGTAAATCAGGCGGCCTCGGCGTTCCACACAAAAGACAGAAGTTGATCTATCGTCGGCGGTATTTCCGTCGGTTTCGAACAAGGTGGTATTCTAAGTCGACACAAAAGATGGGGGGAGTTGACAAATCATCAGTATGTCTAGCGACGGAAAAATCGGAAGTTTTAACAATGTAAATGAAACGTCTTTGAAGTCTGGACCAAATACCACTGAAAATCGGGTGCGGTAAATTTTTCGCAGAAATCTTCGCATTTCAACACCACCCAGCGTAAGTATCGGCTTGTGGTAAAATGCGAGACAAAAAAGTCACGTGAACGACCGTTTTCGCGCCCTTCTCGCATTTTCCCGTCTCGCCATTTCGCTTTTCGCGTCTCGCAATTTCCCCACACCCTAATAACTAATACTGACTAAAAGCCTGCTAATAACATAATTAATAAGTTAAAAATATTAGCCTATAAAATAAGAATACAAAATAATAGGCTTACTTGTTTAGTTATAGGCCTAGGCTCTGATCAGCCCAAGTAATGTATGACTTTGAATGATTACCTTAGGCCCAGGCCAGCCTGTGGAGGGAGGGGGGGGGGGGTGGGGCTAGGATGACAATTTTAAATTTTTAATATAATAAACTTTTTAACAAGTTAGTAATAATACTAAATAGGCCCAATTACTAATTCAATCAATAATCATTCTTATTTAATCATAATAAACCTGTTTTAACTTTAAAGTTTAAGTTATGTTTGTTTAACTATTGTATATAGTCGAATAATAAATGATGCATTGTCATCGAGTCTTGATCTACATGAAACGTTTTTAAGAAATCAGTAAGGTGGAAGTGGTCAAAATTTTGCTCACAAGTTTCCGCCCATTACAGATGATAGATTAAGGAATCAAGGTTAAAAAAGTTTTGCGGTTTTGAGAAATTGGAAACAATGTAAAGTAATATGTCGGGTCACTGGAAATCACTCTAATTTTGACAGAAACTAGTGAAAAAGATATCTTGGAGGAAATTTTATCCACCTAACTGAAATGGTATTAAAGTGATCAGTATTTTAGAAACCACAAATAGATTAAAGTACCACTTCTGGATATCGGAGGTTACCCAAATATTGAAAGTGACCCAAACATAAGACCTTTTACTTGAAAATGAAATTTTATCGACCTAAATGAATCAGTACTCAAATTATCATTTTCCTATAGAAATATAGTTAGTACCATTTCAGATTACTGGAAATCATTCAAAAGTTGATAGGCACTCAAATTATCATGCTGACAGACACACACATACACAGACAAAATTGCAATACTATGTTTTTAGGTCTGAGGGAGATTTAAATCATAAATGTTTGTCATGATTACATTACTTCTTGTTGAATTAGTTAAGGGTGGTTGCTCCTTGAGAGATCATTCTAGGAAAGGTAACAATAGAGGGTAGAGGGTTAAAAATATGTTTAATTAGCATTTTTAGCAGAACAAAATTGGGATAATAGCGGGTGAAGAGAATTGAATACTTTTGTAAACTAGTGAAACAATTGACTGTTGTCAACTAGTGAAACAATTGACTGTTGTCAACTAGTGAAACAATTGACTGTTGTTAACTAGTGAAACAATTGACTGTTGTCAACTAGTGAAACAATTGACTGTTGTCAACTAGTCAAACAATTGACTGTTGTCAACTAGTCACACAATTGACTGTTGTCATTTAGTGAAACAATTGGTCAACTAGTGAAACAATTGACTGTTGTCAACTAGTGAAACAATTGACTGTTGTCAACTAGTGAAACAATTGACTGTTGTCAACTAGTGAAACAATTGACTGTTGTCAACTAGTGAAACAATTGGTCAACTAGTGAAACAATTGGTCAACTAGTCAAACAATTGGTCAACTAGTGAAACAATTGGTCAACTAGTCAAACAATTGACTGTTGTCAACTAGTCAAACGATTGGTCAACTAGTGAAACAATTGACTGTTGTCAACTAGTCAAACAATTGACTGTTGTCAACTAGTCAAACAATTGACTGTTGTCAACTAGTGAAACAATTGACTGTTGTCAACTAGTCAAACAATTGACTGTTGTCAACTAGTGAAACAATTGACTGTTGTCAACTAGTCAAACAATTGACTGTTGTCAACTAGTCACACAATTGGTCAACTAGTGAAACAATTGACTGTTGTCAACTAGTCAAACAATTGACTGTTGTCAACTAGTGAAACAATTGACTGTTGTCAACTAGTGAAACAATTGACTGTTGTCAACTAGTGAAACAATTGACTGTTGTCAACTAGTGAAACAATTGACTTTTGTCAACTTGTGAAACAATTGACTGTTGTAAACTAGTCAAACAATTGACTGTTGTCAACTTGTGAAACAATTGACTGTTGTCAACTAGTGAAACAATTGACTGTTGTCAACTTGTGAAACAATTGACTTTTGTAAACTTGTGAAACAATTGACTGTTGTCAACTAGTGAAACAATTGACTGTTGTCAACTAGTGAAACAATTGACTGTTGTCAACTAGTGAAACAATTGACTGTTGTCAACTAGTGAAACAATTGGTCAACTAGTGAAACAATTGACTGTTGTCAACTAGTGAAACAATTGACTGTTGTCAACTAGTGAAACAATTGACTGTTGTAAACTAGTGAAACAATTGACTGTTGTCAACTAGTGAAACAATTGACTGTTGTCAACTAGTGAAACAATTGACTGTTGTCAACTAGTGAAACAATTGACTGTTGTCAACTAGTCAAACAATTGACTGTTGTCAACTAGTCAAACAATTGACTGTTCAAACTTCCCCAGACTAAAACTTGCTCCGGGCTGTCGAGGAATGAATGGATTTTTCTGCTCGTATCATCCGCCAACATCCTGACCGCAATAGCCTTGACCTTGTATCGGATGATCTCTGTCATCAAGGACGACGACTCACAAAACCCAGACTTCACATTCACGTTACTTCTGCTGATCAACGCAGGTGCAGTAGAGTAGTGGTGTGACAGTGATGGATCCTAGTTTATTAGGGCTTTATTATTAGGTAGTGGTGACTTGAGCAGTTGACTGAAATCTTTGGTTGACTGAAGTGACTTGAGTAGTTGACTGAAATCTTTGGTTGACTGAAGTGACTTGAGCAGTTGACTGAAATCTTTCGTTGACTGAAGTGACTTGAGTAGTTGACTGAAATCTTTGGTTGACTGAAGTGACTTGAGCAGTTGACTGAAATCTTCGGTTGACTGAAGTGACTTGAGCAGTTGACTGATGTTGACTGATGCCTTCTTGCAGGTTTCTGCGTGTACTATGTGCTGCATGGAGTGTTTAGAGAAAGAGTTTTTGAAGTGTTTGCCTTCATGGGGGCTGTTGTTGTTGTGGCTGTCTACTGTTTGCTGGAATATTTTGTCTTCAACACAACAAGACAATCTACAGTCAAATTAGTAGGCCATTTCCTTTAAGACAATCTACAGTCAAATTAGTAGGACATTTCCTTTACTCTATACTTAAAGAACTCAAACCATCCAAGTACTGTTTGTGTGCAGTCCTTACCTTCACTGTTTGTGTGTAGTCCTTACCTTCACTGTTTGTGTGCAGTCCTTACCTTCACTGTTTGTGTGCAGTCCTTACCTTCATTGTTTGTGTGCAGTCCTTACCTTCACTGTTTGTGTGCAGTCCTTACCTTCACTGTTTGTGTGCAGTCCTTACCTTCACTGTTTGTGTGCAGTCCTTACCTTCACTGTTTGTGTGCAGTCCTTACCTTCATTGTTTGTGTGCAGTCCTTACCTTCACTGTTTGTGTGCAGTCCTTACCTTCACTGTTTGTGTGCAGTCCTTACCTTCACTGTTTGTGTGCAGTCCTTACCTTCACTGTTTGTGTGCAGTCCTTACCTTCACTGTTTGTGTGCAGTCCTTACCTTCACTGTTTGTGTGCAGTCCTTACCTTCACTGTTTGTGTGCAGTCCTTACCTTCATTGTTTGTGTGCAGTCCTTACCTTCACTGTTTGTGTGCAGTCCTTACCTTCACTGTTTGTGTGCAGTCCTTACCTTCACTGTTTGTGTGCAGTCCTTACCTTCACTGTTTGTGTGCAGTCCTTACCTTCACTGTTTGTGTGCAGTCCTTACCTTCACTGTTTGTGTGCAGTCCTTACCTTCACTGTTTGTGTGCAGTCCTTACCTTCACTGTTTGTGTGCAGTCCTTACCTTCACTGTTTGTGTGCAGTCCTTACCTTCATTGTTTGTGTGCAGTCCTTACCTTCACTGTTTGTGTGCAGTCCTTACCTTCACTGTTTGTGTGCAGTCCTTACCTTCACTGTTTGTGTGCAGTCCTTACCTTCACTGTTTGTGTGCAGTCCTTACCTTCATTGTTTGTGTGCAGTCCTTACCTTCATCTTTCACCCTCTAAGTACCGTATCCTTACTCATGTATTTAAATGTAGATGTAGTTTGGAAATGAACTAGTAACCAGATTGAAACAAGAAATAATTAAAATTTTTTATAAAAAGTTTATAATTAAAAATGTTTATAAAAAGTTTATAATTAAAACTGTTACCTCCAGGTTCGTTTGATTCTTGCCTGCATTCTGGCGCCACCAAATATTTATCTGGCCTACATTGTCTCCAGAAACTTCGGATACCTCCAGTTCCGCAGCGTTGGTGCATCAGGACACTTGCAAAGTATAAAAAACTTTTAACTTGTCATTTGACTTGCCACAAGATCATCTCTCAAAGTTCAGACAAACATTTTTCATTGACATTGTTAGTTACAGAAAGTTTATTTTTAGATGTAATGATTAGAAAATTGACAAATGTAAAAAAGAAATTGTTCGACCCACAGAACTGTACAAGCAAGCTGGAATTTTCTCCTGTCTTCTCAAATTTGACTTACAAGCTGCTGTGAGTACAGAAAAAATAAGTTTACCTTGCATAAATCTCCCCCACCTTACCCCATTTAAATCTCCCCACATCTCACACAAATTTCCCCACATCTCACACAAATTTCCCCACATCTCACACAAATTTCCCCACATCTCACACAAATTTCCCCACATCTCACACAAAATGTCCCCACATCTCACACAAAATGTCCCCACATCTCACACATTTCCCCACATCTCACACAAAATGTCCCCACATCTCACACATTTCCCCACATCTCACACATTTCCCCACATCTCACACAAAATGTCCCCACATCTCACACAAAATTTCCCCACATCTCACACAAAATGTCCCCACATCTCACACATTTCCCCACATCTCACACAAAATGTCCCCACATCTCACACATTTCCCCACATCTCACACATTTCCCCACATCTCACACAAAATGTCCCCACATCTCACACAAATTTCCCCACATCTCACACATTTCCCCACATCTCACACAAATTTCCCCACATCTCACACAAATTTCCCCACATCTCACACATTTCCCCACATCTCACACAAAATGTCCCCACATCTCACACAAATGTCCCCACATCTCACACAAATTTCCCCACATCTCACATAAATTTCCCCACATCTCACACAAAATCTCCCCACACCAGTGTAGCATCGTGGTCCTGGCCCTGGAGTCTGGCACCAAGGTGTCAATCTTAGAGACGGCGTCACTGGCTGTTGGCATCCCATACTCGTTGTTGTGGTGTCTGTTGGGCTGGATTAGTGTGAGTATCTGCTACTGTTGATCTGTGTATCTGCCACTGTAGATCTGTGTATCTGCCACTGTAGATCTGTGTATCTGCCACTGTAGATCTGTGTATCTGCCACTGTTGATCTGTGTATCTGCCACTGTTGATCTGTGTATCTGCCACTGTTGATCTGTGTATCTGCCACTGTTGACAATGTTTCTTACAGACTTTTAACTCCAGGGGGCACTTAATATTTTTTTGGGGGGGGGGGGGGGGGGGAAAGAAGCTCTGAATGTTGATCTGTGTATCCAGCACTGTTGATCTGTTACCATGACAACAAGCATACAATGGCTTCCCTCAAACAATCAAGTGCTGATGGGCATGATGAGAAAGCTGATTTTACAAAAAATTCACAATCTTACAATCTTACTTCTAAGAAATCTGTGTGTAATCTGTACTGCCTTACCTGTATGTAATGTGTACTGCCTTATATGTATGTAATCTGTATTGTCTTACATGTATGTAATCTGAATTGTCTTACATGCATGTAGTTTGTAATGTCTTACATGCATGTAGTCTGTAATGTCTTACATGTATGTAATCTGTAATGTCTTACATGTGTGTAATCTGTAATGCATGTAATCTGCTGAAGATGAAGAGAGAGCTCAAGTCCGCTGCTGTAGTTTTTGCCGTGTTTGGGCTAGTCAAGCCATGCTACTACATCTACAAGATTGTTCAGGTATGTGCATAACTAGTGTGTTAATAGACACATACAACTAGTGTGTTAATAGACACATACAACGAGTGTGCCAATAAACACATACACCTAGTGTGTTAATAGACACATACACACTAAGTGTGTTAATAGACACAACTAGTGTGCCAATAGACACATACACCTAGTGTGCCAATAGACACATACACCTAGTGTGCCAATAGACACATACACCTAGTGTGCCAATAGACATATACACCTAGTGTGCCAATAGACACATACACCTAGTGTGCCAATAGACACATACACCTAGTGTGCCAATAGACACATACACCTAGTGTGCCAATAGACACATACACCTAGTGTGCCAATAGACACATGAAACATGTGGTTTACCATCTGCCACAGGAATACATTGAGCTGGATGAGCACACACAAGGCACAGAAAGCATTGTCTACTCTCTGATTGCTGCAGGTTAGTCAGTGGAGTGAGCTGTATCCATGGATTCTATGGTGGTGGATTATATTTAATGGAGTTGGTGGATTATATTCAATGTAGTTGGTGGATTATATTTAATGGAGTTGGTGGATTATAGTTAATGTAGTTGGTGGATTATAATGGATGGTTGGTGGATTATATTTAATGAAGTTGGTGGATTATATCTTTTTGTGGATGTTATTTGTGGTTGGAAGCTTATAAATATAATCTGTGTTGGTGGATCATATATTAGTTGATGGCTCTATATCTATGTTAGTGGATTATATCTGTTGGTTAGTGGATTATATCTGTTGGTTAGTGGATTATATCTGTTGGTTAGTGGATTATATCTGTTGGTTAGTGGATTATATCTGTTGGTTGATGGTTTGGTGGATAATATATTTTATTAAATGATGTGTGTAAGCTGGTTAATCATCTTTGTGCTGTTACCCTGTATAAAAACTTTTGATGAACTGACTGCTTCATGTGACTTGACTTAAACTTGATCAGTCATGTGACTTAATCTCTCCTGCAAGTGGCGCTGGGTCTGCTGGTCTGGTTCGTGCTGATGGTAGAACTTGTCTTTGTCTGTCAGAACTTTGGTCAGGGACTCAGGACTGATGGTAAGTCATCCAATGACTTTTGTTGTCTGATCTGACTTTTGTCCTGACCTGACTTTTGCCTAATATGACTTTTGTTTTCATCTGACTTCTCTAGCAGCCAAACCTGTGAACAATGAAAGAACTGGACTGTTGGGCTCAAGGACCAACTTCCCCAGCTCAACAACGGCAAGTCTGTAATTTGGTTGACTTTGTGATTGGTTTGATCTGGCCCATGGCTCAACAACGGCCAGCCTGTAATTTGGTTGACTTTGTGATTGGTTTGATCTGGCCCATGGCTCAACAACGGCCAGCCTGTAATTTGGTTGACTTTGTGATTGGTTTGATCTGGCCCATGGCTCAACAACGGCAAGTCTGTAATTTGGTTTGGTTGACTTTGTGATTGGTTTGATCTGGCCCATGGCTCAACAACGGCCAGCCTGTAATTTGGTTGACTTTGTGATTGGTTTGATCTGGCCCATGGCTCAACAACGGCCAGTCTGTAATTTGGTTGACTTTGTGATTGGTTTGATCTGGCCCATGGCTCAACAACGGCCAGTCTGTAATTTGGTTGACTTAGTGATTGGTTTGATCTGGCCCATGGCTCAACAACGGCAAGTCTGTAATTTGGTTTGGTTGACTTTGTGATTGGTTTGATCTGGCCCATGGCTCAACAACGGCCAGTCTGTAATTTGGTTGACTTTGTGATTGGTTTGATCTGGCCCATGGCTCAACAACGGCCAGTCTGTAATTTGGTTGACTTTGTGATTGGTTTGATCTGGCCCATGGCTCAACAACGGCCAGTCTGTAATTTGGTTGACTTTGTGATTGGTTTGATCTGGCCCATGGCTCAACAACGGCCAGCCTGTAATTTGGTTGACTTTGTGATTGGTTTGATCTGGCCCATGGCTCAACAACGGCCAGCCTGTAATTTGGTTGACTTTGTGATTGGTTTGATCTGGCCCATGGCTCAACAACGGCAAGTCTGTAATTTGGTTTGGTTGACTTTGTGATTGGTTTGATCTGGCCCATGGCTCAACAACGGCCAGTCTGTAATTTGGTTGACTTTGTGATTGGTTTGATCTGGCCCATGGCTCAACAACGGCCAGTCTGTAATTTGGTTGACTTTGTGATTGGTTTGATCTGGCCCATGGCTCAACAACGGCCAGTCTGTAATTTGGTTGACTTTGTGATTGGTTTGATCTGGCCCATGGCTCAACAACGGCCAGCCTGTAATTTGTTTGACTTTGTGATTGGTTTGATCTGGCCCATGGCTCAACAATGGCAAGTCTGTAATTTGGTTTGGTTGACTTTGTGATTGGTTTGATCTGGCCCATGGCTCAACAACGGCAAGTCTGTAATTTGGTTGACTTTGTGATTGGTTTGATCTGGCCCATGGCTCAACAACGGCCAGTCTGTAATTTGGTTGACTTTGTGATTGGTTTGATCTGGCCCATGGCTCAACAACGGCAAGTCTGTAATTTGGTTGACTTTGTGATTGGTTTGATCTGGCCCATGGCTCAACAACGGCCAGTCTGTAATTTGGTTGACTTTGTGATTGGTTTGATCTGGCCCATGGCTCAACAACGGCAAGTCTGTAATTTGGTTGACTTTGTGATTGGTTTGATCTGGCCCATGGCTCAACAACGGCCAGTCTGTAATTTGGTTGACTTTGTGATTGGTTTGATCTGGCCCATGGCTCAACAACGGCAAGTCTGTAATTTGGTTGACTTTGTGATTGGTTTGATCTGGCCCATGGCTCAACAACGGCCAGTCTGTAATTTGGTTGACTTAGTGATTGGTTTGATCTGGCCCATGGCTCAACAACGGCCAGTCTGTAATTTGGTTGACTTAGTGATTGGTTTGATCTGGCCCATGGCTCAACAACGGCAAGTCTGTAATTTGGTTGACTTAGTGATTGGTTTGATCTGGCCCATGGCTCAACAATGGCCAGCCTGTAATTTGGTTTGGTTGACTTTGTGATTGGTTTGATCTGGCCCATGGCTCAACAACGGCCAGCCTGTAATTTGGTTGACTTTGTGATTGGTTTGATCTGGCCCATGGCTCAACAACGGCCAGCCTGTAATTTGGTTGACTTTGTGATTGGTTTGATCTGGCCCATGGCTCAAGCTGTTCTGGGTGTTGAATGAGATGATCCAGTCTTTATGTTTGAGACTTGCTAGTATGTGAGTCAATATGTTGATGGACTCATTTTATTCATGGTAAAACGTCTACGTACTAGAAAGATATTTCTCATGATGGTAAAACGTCTACGTGCTAGAAAGATATTTCTCATGATGGTAAAACGTCTACGTACTAGAAAGATATTTCTCAGCACCTCAGGAGGGTAATTTAACTGCTGGTATACACATTGGGTTAATGTTTCCATGCTCTGTGTACAGTTGTTATATGTAGCTTATATACAGTTGTTTTATTTTTTATACAGTAGTGTTTTATATAGTATTGTACTATATACTTTTGTTCTTTTTTTACGATTGTTCCATAAAAAGCAGTGGTCCATAAAAATTTTCTGTTTTTTACAGGGTAGGTCTTTTTGCCAAATTTAGTAAATTCTAATGAAAATGTGTTTATTGCTCAAGATACTAAACTTTTCAGCTTTAAAGAGATATTTGTGCAATTAACTAGGTTTATGTTAAGGGAAACAACTCAAGTTATATTTTTAGGAAGATAAATTATTTCGATTATATCCCCTTACGGAAGGGAACCGCTCAATATTTAAATCTTATGGACCCAGTGTGAGGTTCTAAAATGGACATATCGTGACGTCATCCACTATACCTTGTTGAGTTCTGCTTTACAATATTTTTTGCATAGAAAAAATTAGCAATTTGCTGTTAATATTGCTATAGAACAAATCAGCAATTTGCTGTTCAGAGTTCAATTTAATTCAGTGCTTTACATGATTATTGTCAATTCACGCATTTATTTTTAACTTGTTTTTTGCTAAGTTTTATTTGTAAAGATTTTATCTTATTCAAAAGAATAAAGATTTAGCTATCGTATCTAAATCAATGAAGATTTTATAGTTAAATTGGGTAAAGATTTGATTTAAATGGGTAGAAATTTAATTAAAATGGGTAAAGATTTAATCCATCTCAGCTAAAAATGGGGCAGCAGTTTTGCCAACGTAGCTCCCCGCAGCTACTGAGGATAACTGTGTTTAAAAAATGTCGTAACAATTGATTAAAGCGTGTTTATTTCAATGGATGGCTCGTCAAAAATTGAGCTTGAAACCAAATGGTGCATGTACTCTAGTCATCAATGTTAGAATCTGTTTGGTTTGGGCTCTTAACTTTAGTTCATGGCCAGTGGTTATGTTCTGTGGGGTCAGTAAATTAATGGGGTCAGTAGACTGGTGGGGTCAGTAGACTGGTGGGGTCAGTAGACTGGTGGGGTCAGTAGACTGGTGGGGTCAGTAGACTGGTGGGGTCAGTAGACTGGTGGGGTCAGTAGACTGGTGGGGTCAGTAGACTGGTGGGGTCAGTAGACTGGTGGGGTCAGTAGACTGGTGGGGTCAGTAGACTGGTGGGGTCAGTAAACTGGTGGGGTCAGTAGACTGGTGGGGTCAGTAGACTGGTGGGGTCACTAGACTGGTGGGGTCAGTAGACTGGTGGGGTCAGTAGACTGGTGGGGTCACTAGACTGGTGGGGTCAGTAGACTGGTGGGGTCAGTAGACTGGTGGGGTCAGTAGACTGGTGGGGTCAGTAAATTAATGGGGTCAGTAGACTGGTGGGGTCACTAGACTGGTGAGGTCAGTAGACTGGTGGGGTCAGTAGACTGGTGGGGTCAGTAGACTGGTGGGGTCAGTAGACTGGTGGGGTCACTAGACTGGTGGGGTCAGTAGACTGGTGGGGTCAGTAGACTGGTGGGGTCAGTAGACTGGTGGGGTCACTAGACTGGTGGGGTCAGTAGACTGGTGGGGTCACTAGACTGGTGGGGTCAGTAGACTGGTGGGGTCAGTAGACTGGTGGGGTCAGTAGACTGGTGGGGTCAGTATATTAATGGGGTCAGTAGACTGGTGGGGTCAGTAGACTGGTGGGGTCACTAGACTGGTGGGGTCAGTAGACTGGTGGGGTCAGTAGACTGGTGGGGTCACTAGACTGGTGGGGTCAGTAGACTGGTGGGGTCAGTAGACTGGTGGGGTCAGTAGACTGGTGGGGTCAGTAAATTAATGGGGTCAGTAGACTGGTGGGGTCAGTAGACTGGTGGGGTCAGTAGACTGGTGGGGTCAGTAAATTAATGGGGTCAGTAGACTGGTGGGGTCACTAGACTGGTGGGGTCAGTAGACTGGTGGGGTCAGTAGATTGGTGGGGTCAGTAGACTGGTGGGGTCACTAGACTGGTGGGGTCAGTAGACTGGTGGGGTCAGTAGACTGGTGGGGTCACTAGACTGGTGGGGTCAGTAGACTGGTGGGGTCAGTAGACTGGTGGGGTCAGTAAATTAATGGGGTCAGTAGACTGGTGGGGTCAGTAGACTGGTGGGGTCAGTAGACTGGTGGGGTCAGTAGACTGGTGGGGTCAGTAGACTGGTGGGGTCACTAGACTGGTGGGGTCAGTAGACTGGTGGGGTCACTAGACTGGTGGGGTCAGTAGACTGGTGGGGTCAGTAGACTGGTGGGGTCACTAGACTGGTGGGGTCAGTAGACTGGTGGGGTCAGTAGACTGGTGGGGTCAGTAGACTGGTGGGGTCAGTAGACTGGTGGGGTCAGTAGACTGGTGGGGTCAGTAAATTAATGGGGTCAGTAGACTGGTGGGGTCACTAGACTGGTGAGGTCAGTAGACTGGTGGGGTCAGTAGACTAGACTGGTGGGGTCAGTAGACTGGTGGGGTCAGTAGACTGGTGGGGTCAGTAGACTGGTGGGGTCAGTAGACTGGTGGGGTCAGTAGACTGGTGGGGTCAGTAGACTGGTGGGGTCACTAGACTGGTGGGGTCAGTAGACTGGTGGGGTCAGTAGACTGGTGGGGTCAGTAGACTGGTGGGGTCAGTAGACTGGTGGGGTCACTAGACTGGTGGGGTCAGTAGACTGGTGGGGTCAGTAAATTAATGGGGTCAGTAGACTGGTGGGGTCAGTAGACTGGTGGGGTCAGTAGACTGGTGGGGTCAGTAGACTGGTGGGGTCACTAGACTGGTGGGGTCAGTAGACTGGTGGGGTCAGTAGACTGGTGGGGTCACTAGACTGGTGGGGTCAGTAGACTGGTGGGGTCAGTAGACTGGTGGGGTCAGTAGACTGGTGGGGTCACTAGACTGGTGGGGTCAGTAAATTAATGGGGTCAGTAGACTGGTGGGGTCAGTAGACTGGTGGGGTCAGTTGACTGGTGGGGTCACTAGACTGGTGGGGTCAGTAGACTGGTGGGGTCAGTAGACTGGTGGGGTCAGTAGACTGGTGGGGTCAGTAGACTAGACTGGTGGGGTCACTAGACTGGTGGGGTCAGTAGACTGGTGGGGTCAGTAGACTGGTGGGGTCAGTAGACTGGTGGGGTCAGTAGACTGGTGGGGTCAGTAGACTGGTGGGGTCAGTAGACTGGTGGGGTCACTAGACTGGTGGGGTCACTAGACTGGTGGGGTCAGTAGACTGGTGGGGTCACTAGACTGGTGGGGTCAGTAGACTAGACTGGTGGGGTCAGTAGACTGGTGGGGTCAGTAAATTAATGGGGTCAGTAGACTGGTGGGGTCAGTAGACTGGTGGGGTCAGTAGACTGGTGGGGTCACTAGACTGGTGGGGTCACTAGACTGGTGGGGTCAGTAGACTGGTGGGGTCAGTAGACTGGTGGGGTCAGTAGACTAGACTGGTGGGGTCAGTAGACTGGTGGGGTCAGTAGACTGGTGGGGTCAGTAGACTGGTGGGGTCAGTAGACTGGTGGGGTCAGTAGACTGGTGGGGTCAGTAGACTGGTGGGGTCAGTAGACTGGTGGGGTCAGTAGACTGGTGGGGTCAGTAGACTGGTGGGGTCACTAGACTGGTGGGGTCAGTAGACTGGTGGGGTCAGTAGACTGGTGGGGTCAGTAGACTGGTGGGGTCAGTAGACTGGTGGGGTCAGTAAATTAATGGGGTCAGTAAATTAATGGGGTCAGTAGACTGGTGGGGTCACTAGACTGGTGGGGTCACTAGACTGGTGGGGTCACTAGACTGGTGGGGTCAGTAGACTGGTGGGGTCAGTAGACTAGACTGGTGGGGTCACTAGACTAGACTGGTGGGGTCAGTAGACTGGTGGGGTCAGTAGACTGGTGGGGTCAGTAGACTGGTGGGGTCAGTAGACTGGTGGGGTCAGTAGACTGGTGGGGTCACTAGACTGGTGGGGTCAGTAGACTGGTGGGGTCAGTAGACTGGTGGGGTCAGTAGACTGGTGGGGTCAGTAGACTGGTGGGGTCAGTAGACTGGTGGGGTCAGTAGACTGGTGGGGTCAGTAGACTGGTGGGGTCACTAGACTGGTGGGGTCAGTAGACTGGTGGGGTCAGTAGACTGGTGGGGTCAGTAGACTGGTGGGGTCAGTAGACTGGTGGGGTCACTAGACTGGTGGGGTCACTAGACTGGTGGGGTCAGTAGACTGGTGGGGTCAGTAGACTGGTGGGGTCACTAGACTGGTGGGGTCACTAGACTGGTGGGGTCAGTAGACTGGTGGGGTCAGTAGACTGGTGGGGTCAGTAAATTAATGGGGTCAGTAGACTGGTGGGGTCAGTAGACTGGTGGGGTCAGTAGACTGGTGGGGTCAGTAAATTAATGGGGTCAGTAGACTGGTGGGGTCAGTAGACTGGTGGGGTCAGTAGACTGGTGGGGTCAGTAGACTGGTGGGGTCAGTAGACTGGTGGGGTCAGTAAATTAATGGGGTCAGTAGACTGGTGGGGTCAGTAGACTGGTGGGGTCAGTAAATTAATGGGGTCAGTAGACTGGTGGGGTCAGTAGACTGGTGGGGTCAGTAAATTAATGGGGTCAGTAGACTGGTGGGGTCAGTAGACTGGTGGGGTGGTAGACTGGTGGGGTCAGTAGACTGGTGGGGTCAGTAAATTAATGGGGTCAGTAGACTGGTGGGGTCAGTAGACTGGTGGGGTCAGTAGACTGGTGGGGTCAGTAGACTGGTGGGGTCAGTAGACTGGTGGGGTCAGTAGACTGGTGGGGTCACTAGACTGGTGGGGTCACTAGACTGGTGGGGTCAGTAGACTAGACTGGTGGGGTCAGTAGACTAGACTGGTGGGGTCAGTAGACTAGACTGGTGGGGTCAGTAGACTGGTGGGGTCAGTAGACTGGTGGGGTCAGTAGACTGGTGGGGTCAGTAGACTGGTGGGGTCAGTAGACTGGTGGGGTCAGTAGACTGGTGGGGTCAGTAGACTGGTGGGGTCAGTAGACTGGTGGGGTCAGTAGACTGGTGGGGTCAGTAGACTGGTGGGGTCAGTAAATTAATGGGGTCAGTAGACTGGTGGGGTCAGTAGACTGGTGGGGTCAGTAGACTGGTGGGGTCACTAGACTGGTGGGGTCAGTAGACTGGTGGGGTCACTAGACTGGTGGGGTCAGTAGACTGGTGGGGTCAGTAGACTGGTGGGGTCACTAGACTGGTGGGGTCAGTAGACTGGTGGGGTCACTAGACTGGTGGGGTCAGTAGACTAGACTGGTGGGGTCAGTAGACTGGTGGGGTCAGTAGACTGGTGGGGTCAGTAGACTGGTGGGGTCAGTAGACTGGTGGGGTCAGTAGACTGGTGGGGTCAGTAGACTGGTGGGGTCAGTAGACTGGTGGGGTCAGTAGACTGGTGGGGTCAGTAGACTGGTGGGGTCACTAGACTGGTGGGGTCAGTAGACTGGTGGGGTCAGTAGACTGGTGGGGTCAGTAGACTGGTGGGGTCAGTAGACTGGTGGGGTCACTAGACTGGTGGGGTCACTAGACTGGTGGGGTCAGTAGACTGGTGGGGTCACTAGACTGGTGGGGTCAGTAGACTGGTGGGGTCACTCGACTGGTGGGGTCAGTAGACTGGTGGGGTCACTGGTGGGGTCAGTAGACTGGTGGGGTCAGTAGACTGGTGGGGTCAGTAGACTGGTGGGGTCAGTAAATTAATGGGGTCAGTAGACTGGTGGGGTCAGTAGACTGGTGGGGTCAGTAGACTGGTGGGGTCAGTAGACTGGTGGGGTCAGTAGACTGGTGGGGTCAGTAGACTGGTGGGGTCAGTAGACTGGTGGGGTCAGTAGACTGGTGGGGTCAGTAGACTGGTGGGGTCAGTAGACTGGTGGGGTCACTCGACTGGTGGGGTCAGTAGACTGGTGGGGTCACTGGTGGGGTCAGTAGACTGGTGGGGTCAGTAGACTGGTGGGGTCAGTAGACTGGTGGGGTCAGTAAATTAATGGGGTCAGTAGACTGGTGGGGTCAGTAGACTGGTGGGGTCAGTAGACTGGTGGGGTCACTAGACTGGTGGGGTCACTAGACTGGTGGGGTCAGTAGACTGGTGGGGTCACTAGACTGGTGGGGTCAGTAGACTAGACTGGTGGGGTCAGTAGACTGGTGGGGTCAGTAGACTGGTGGGGTCAGTAGACTGGTGGGGTCAGTAGACTGGTGGGGTCAGTAGACTGGTGGGGTCACTAGACTGGTGGGGTCAGTAGACTGGTGGGGTCAGTAGACTGGTGGGGTCAGTAGACTGGTGGGGTCAGTAGACTGGTGGGGTCAGTAGACTGGTGGGGTCACTAGACTGGTGGGGTCAGTAGACTGGTGGGGTCACTAGACTGGTGGGGTCAGTAGACTGGTGGGGTCAGTAGACTGGTGGGGTCAGTAGACTGGTGGGGTCAGTAGACTGGTGGGGTCAGTAGACTGGTGGGGTCAGTAGACTGGTGGGGTCAGTAGACTAGACTGTCTGGTTCAGTAAACTTAAGGGGTACATCAGTTGTGGCCATATTCTGGTAACAAGACACTGTAAAACTATTTTTCAAATCTCCCCCATTTAATCATCTTTCACCTTTTGGTGGGACCTGCAACTATAGCTCTAAACTTTAAATTCTTCGACCAAATCTTTTTTATCTGTGGTACTAGCTGAAGTATTTGGTTTTTTAAAATTTTATTCAACTTGTTAATTTTGTTTACACCAATTGGCTTAATTAAACATGCTGATTAATGTGCTTGCTAATGATGAAAACGCTTACATCCCTTGTATAAGTTAAAGATTGTGTTCACTCAACTTTTTCCTGCCCCAAATCTCTTTCATCATAAATATTTACAATTTTAAAATTCTATTCTTTAATTAAAATGTATACAATTATTTTTTGTAACCAAAATATTTATTCTAGTTTTGTTGCCTACCTTGCATGAAGACTGAAATAATTTTCTAAAATAAAATCACCAGGAATGTCTTGAGTTGTTGCTATTGTCCCATACTGGATATAAAAATATCTTTACAGTTAAAACGAGAAAATAAAAGCAGCAAAAAAAATAAATTTAGAAACCTTTGCTAATACACACTTTTTTAAGGGGGTGGGGGGGGGGGGGGGGAAATGGGAATTTAATATTTTTTATTGGATTTTTTATTTTGGTACACTGTTTATCTTTAATCTTCTTGTGTCTTTCAATGTGTTGTTTTTTTTTGGTCAGACAAAATAAATAAAAGAAACACAGGTTAGATCTGTTTCACTTAATTGTGCAAGTTGACATACAAGAAAATATATATTCTAGCCTTTTTCATCATCTTCAAATATAAGCAATTTAGTGTAAAACTACTTCCACAATACTAGCTGAAACACAGGATGGAATCACAAAAATATTTGTGACCAATCTTTTAAAAATTGAAAAAAAAAAATTGAAAAATTCTTTTGAACAGGTCATCAATAATTTGTAAATTGGATAAAAACATAAGAGAACATTAAGTTCATCAGTTTCTACTGGCAATAAAATGATACCATTAAGTTCATCAGTTTCTACTGGCAATAAAATGATACCATTTGCTGCCAGCCCTCTTAAGGCCAAAGTCAGGCGGGTGTGATCAACTTAGTCTTGTACATATCAAATACAACTTGTACATCATGGTACACACAAAAAAACAATCAATTATACTGGTACAGTGATTCATGTATTTCTAATACAATTACAGAATACAAACAATTCAAAAATAAAATGTGATTGTAAACATTTTTATCTGATTAATTACAATAGACCTAATTACAATAGACCTGATTACATCAGACCAGACCTGATTACATCAGACCAGACCTGATTACAATAGACCAGACCTGATTGGACAATTATTGAAGAACCCTGAAAGTTGCAGCAACCCATTTCATCAAAGCCTAGGGAGTCAAATCACAAGACAGACCCAGACTAGGTACAGACAATTTTAGCAGACAAAATAATTTTTTAATTAGACTTTAAAACTTAATTAATGTTAGTGCATATCAGCTGGTACTGGTCAAGGTTACAGGATGCTGGTCAAGGTTACAGGATGCTGGTCAAGGTTACAGGATGCTGGTCAAGGTTACAGGATGCTAGGAAGTGATTCTCCAAATTTGCTGAGGTGAGCTGCGTTCTTGACGGGAAACAAAACCTGAAAACATGAAGTGGGTCACATAGAACATGGGTTGGGTCACATAGGACATGGGGTGGGTCACATAGAACATGAGGTGGGTCACATAGAACATGGGGTGGGTCACATAGGACATATTGTCCATAAAATGACCTGGACATATTGTCCATAAAATGACCTGGACATATTGTCCATAAAGTGACCTGGACTCACCTCATTGTCCACATACTGGTCACATGTGTAACACCAGACGCTGAGGTCAGTGAAGCTCAAGGCCATGTTGTGGTCAGTCGCCATCTTATGCAGCATCATGTGTTCATTGACAAACCTGCTGCACTCAACCTAGACATAAACCTACTACACTCAACCTAGACATAAACAAACCTACTACATTCAACCTAGACATAAACAAACCTACTACATTCAACCTAGACATAAACAAACCTGCTACACTCAACCTAGACATAAACAAACCTGCTGCACTCAACCTAGACATAAACAAACCTACTACACTCAACCTAGACATAAACAAACCTACTACACTCAACCTAGACATAAACAAACCTGCTACACTCAACCTAGACATAAACAAACCTGCTGCACTCAACCTAGACATAAACAAACCTACTACACTCAACCTAGACATAAACAAACCTATTACACTCAACCTAGACATAAACAAACCTACTACACTCAACCTAGACATAAACAAACCTGCTACACTCAACCTAGACATAAACAAACCTGCTACACTTAACCTAGACACAAACTTTAGTAAAATTCAATGAAATATTCTAAAGCCAAACGACTTGTCTAGAAAACACAAGTACACTAATAATAAATGAAGCTGTTTACTTCAGTCAATTTAGCACAGACACACACACTAGACAACAGACACACACACTAGAGAAACAGTTATTGATCACTTAACTAAATCCATTGGGAGAGGTTATGTGCTAAAATAAATGAGGAAGTCTTTCTCGTCTGGTTGTTTTGTCTGTGATTTGTCCAGTCTGTGATTTGTCCAGCCTGTGATTTGTCCAGTCTGTGATTTGTCCATCAGTCTGTGATTTGTCCATCAGTCTGTGATTTGTCCATCAGTCTGTGATTTGTCCAGTCTGTGATTTGTCCAATATGTGATTTGTCCAGTCTGTGATTTGTCCAGTCTGTAATTTGTCCAGCCTGTGATTTGTCCATCAGTCTATGATTTGTCCATCAGTCTGTGATTTGTCCAGCCTGTGATTTGTCCAGTCTGTGATTTGTCCAGTCTGTGATTTGTCCAGCCTGTGATTTGTCCAGTCTGTGATTTGTCCTGTCTGTGATTTGTCCATCAGCCTGTGATTTGTCCAGTCTGTGATTTGTCCATCAGCCTGTGATTTGTCCTGTCTGTGATTTGTCCATCAGCCTGTGATTTGTCCAGCCTGTGATTTGTCCATCAGTCTGTGATTTGTCCATCAGCCTGTGATTTGTCCAGTCTGTGATTTGTCCATCAGCCTGTGTTTTGTCCAGCCTGTGATTTGTCCATCAGTCTGTGATTTGTTCATTAGTTTGTGATTTGTCCATCAGTCTGTGATTTGTCCAGTCTGTGATTTGTCCATCAGCCTGTGTTTTGTCCAGCCTGTGATTTGTCCATCAGTCTGTGATTTGTCCATTAGTTTGTGATTTGTCCATCAGTCTGTGATTTGTCCAGTCTGTGATTTGTCCAGCCTGTGATTTGTCCATCAGCCTGTGATTTGTCCATCAGTCTGTGATTTGTCCATCAGTCTGTGATTTGTCCAGCCTGTGATTTGTCCAGTCTGTGATTTGTCCTGTCTGTGATTTGTCCATCAGCCTGTGATTTGTCCAGTCTGTGATTTGTCCATCAGCCTGTGATTTGTCCTGTCTGTGATTTGTCCATCAGCCTGTGATTTGTCCAGCCTGTGATTTGTCCATCAGTCTGTGATTTGTCCATCAGCCTGTGATTTGTCCAGTCTGTGATTTGTCCATCAGCCTGTGTTTTGTCCAGCCTGTGATTTGTCCATCAGTCTGTGATTTGTTCATTAGTTTGTGATTTGTCCATCAGTCTGTGATTTGTCCAGTCTGTGATTTGTCCATCAGCCTGTGTTTTGTCCAGCCTGTGATTTGTCCATCAGTCTGTGATTTGTCCATTAGTTTGTGATTTGTCCATCAGTCTGTGATTTGTCCAGTCTGTGATTTGTCCAGCCTGTGATTTGTCCATCAGCCTGTGATTTGTCCATCAGTCTGTGATTTGTCCATCAGTCTGTGATTTGTCCATCAGTCTGTGATTTGTCCAGCCTGGTACTTACACGGTGGCAGGTCAGACACAGCCAGTTTTCTGTGGGGTCGCCGCACGTGTTGCAGGGTTCATGGGCGTCAATGACGTCAGATTTCAGGGGCGTCACTTCAGACAGATGTGGGCACCACGGCAGCGGCGACACGGCAAACATCTGCTGAGGGGCGTTCTGCAACACAAAGTTATTGAGTAAAAAATGTTCTGCAACACAAAGTTATTGAGTAAAAAATGTTCTGCAACACGAAGTCATTGAGTAAAAAATGTTCTGCAACACAAAGTCATTGAGTAAAAAATGTTCTGCAACACAAAGTCATTGAGTGAAAAATGTTCTGCAACACAAAGTTATTGAGTAAAAAATGTTCTGCAACACAAAGTCATTGAGAAAAAAATGTTGTGCAACACAAAGTCATTGAGTAAAAAATGTTCTGCAACACAAAGTTATTGAGTAAAAAATGTTCTGCAACACAAAGTCATTGAGAAAAAAATGTTGTGCAACACAAAGTCATTGAGTAAAAAATGTTCTGCAACACAAAGTCATTGTCGCCATTTTGACTGGCTCGTGGTACCCGCAGGTCTCGCGAGACAGGGGAGGGCAGGAAGTGATGGGCGGGGCTTATCTTGACCCAAGGGTAAACGGATCCAGACAAAATATGTATGGGTGACGTCACTTAGTGTTGGCTGAGTAGAAAATACAGACTTGAATAAACTGGCATAAGGCATTGGTCAACAGACTTGAATAAACTGGCATAAGGCATTGGTCAACAGACTTGAATAAACTGGCATAAGGCATTAGTCTATATGTACACTCTGTCGCAGTCCATCCGTCCGTCCACCCACCCACCCATCCATCCACCCACCCACCCATCCATCCATCCATCCATCCATCTATCTATATGTATGTGTATATATATATATATATATATATATATATATATATATATATATATATATATATATATATATATATATATATATATATATATATATATATATATATATATATATATATATATATATGTAACTAGGGTGGGCCTAGTTACTAGTCACTATTGTTGAGAACGCGATAGTGCAGGTGTTGGACTGATAAGCCAACTGATAACGATCATAAAGCCACGGCGTAGTTTGGAAGGATACGACAAGCGCTGTCAACTTTGACACGACTTGGCTGACGAAACAGTGCAGATGTTATATTAAATCGGACTGTACGACAGAAGCGGCGTAATTAACATTCTGATGCAACGATTAGAATCGATTACGATTACGATTATGATAGAACCGAATACGACTACGGATACGAAGGGGATATAAGGAAGGCGACGGCTGAGCTCTCAGTCTCTCTCTCTCTATCTCGATCAGTCAGTCTGTGTGGCAGTATCAAGTTGGTTATATTGTGTTAAGAAGGACGATAGACATGTGTATTCAGTTATATGAAGACTAGTGAGGACTGTTGGGAGTCAGTTGATTCAAACTATTATTGTGAAGCATTCCTTTTGATTCATTATATTATTGTGAAGCATTTCTTTGATTCATGTAATAAAAGGATCAATAGCGAACCTGCATCTTCGAGTATCTATACTGTGGTCGATGTTGTGTAGAATGAGTGGTTAGACTCGGTAACATTTGGCGTTGTCGAGCAGAACTCGTTAACATTTGGCACTACAGGCAAATAGTCTCGTTACATTTGGCGCTGCGGGCAGGATATGCAAATACACTAGGTCACATTTGGCGTCGTCGGACAGGATGAATTCAACTAGACTTGCCGCTTTAGGCACCCATAGTCAACCTTGTTCATAACTGTGTTTAGTGTGTGTGTGAATTCGAACATTCAGGAACAGTGAAAATTGAGGAACGAGGAAAATTTTTCATACACACACGGTAAGAAAGAACTCTTTTTTTTTACTCAAGGAATAAAATGTCTACTCTGGACGAGAAGCAGACCCATATTGTGGTCCTGCCCAGAGAGTCCCACATTAACAAATTTTACGGGGACGGTGATCCGGCTTTAACCAACAGGTTCAGTGAAGAGGTCAAAGCGGCCTGGGCCTCGAGATGCATGTCACCAGAGGAAAGATTAAGACTGCTGATGGGCAGTATAGGAGAGACGGTTAGGGCAGAGGTCAAATGCCACGATAAAACCATCCAATCAGATCCAGATAAGGTGCTGGATCTAATTATGGAGACCTTTGGGGAGAGACGGTCGGGATCGCAACTGCTAACGGTGTTAGTAGGCTTGAAGCAGAGAATGGCGGAGAGTGTGATGGAGTATTCACACCGAATGAACAGGGCCTTTGATTCGGTAAAGGGCAGAACACCCGACATTGATGTACGCCTACTGAGGGACCATTTCATCGAGGGGCTAGCAACCCCGATCTTAAGGAGAGAGTTGAAAGAGGAGGTCCACAAAGACCCGCAGTTGACCTTCCTTCAGGTCAGGAACTCAGCGATCCGCAGGTCCGAGGATGAGGACCAATCGAACTGTTCGGTGGACAAAGTCTCTGTGCCGGAACAGAAACAATCCCCACCCACAGGGACCGGCACGGTGGAAACCATGATGGCTCAACTGTTGGCTCACCTGGATAAGGTTGACCAACGATTGGAGAGGTTAGAGAGCAGGTCAACAGCTGAGAATCAGGAAAAGAACGGGCCAAAACAGAGACAGGTTGGACGGCCGCGACCCGCCGGTCCATCGCTCCGGTGGACGGCCGACGGTCGACCAATTTGCTTGTCCTGTTCACAACCCGGACACATGGCACGGTACTGCCAGGGAAACGGTCGTCCTCTGTAAGGCAGGGTCAGGCTACAGAGGGGCGAGGTTATGGCCCAAGAAACAAAATGATGGGAGTCTGTCCCGAAATGGTGATTACGATTGGGGACATCGCGGTGAAGGCAATTGTGGATACAGGCTCCCAGGTGACGACAATTACAGAAAATTTTTACACCAAATGGATGAAAGGAAAAGACCATAGGTTGAGGTCTGACACATGCATGCGCCTGACGGCAGCTAATGGACTAACCATTCCATACTGTGGTTATTTTCTGGCGGATGTCGTGGTGGCGGGACATAGGTTGAAGCAGGTTGGGGTGTTCGTTACGAAACACAACCTAGAGACAAATGTGTCAAATATACCTTGCCTGTTGGGCATGAATATTCTTGGCCAGTTGCCAGAATTTCTTACAAATATTGTCGGATCGACCACACCAGGTCGGGGATCCAAGTTGGCCAGGTTTGCCAAGACCAGAGGAAGGATATCAGTCCCGGCAAACACGGTCAAGGCAATCACATTACAAATTGGTGATAGAAGCGTGAATGGTGATGTGATGATAGAACCATGTGGCGCCGCACTGAGGGCAGGCGTCGTGTTACTGCGGACATACACATCAGCGGAGAAGGGACTAGTTCAAGGATTAGTGGCAAATGTTTTGGATGAGGAAATTTTTATACCGCCTAATACTCTGGTAGGAGTACCACAGAACGTCGAGGTACTAAGGTCGGCACAGTGCATCGAACTGAGCAATACCAGCAGTAATGAAGTAACAATTAGGTCGGTCAATGTGACGGCCGAGGTGAAGAAAGAGGATGGCCGATCATATACATTCCCGGAAACTGAGGACCCAAAACTAAATGAATTGCTGAATAAGTACAGGGATATATTTGCCTCGTACGAGGGTGATTTGGGTTACACGGAAGTAATAAAACACCAGATACCCTTACTACAGGACAGGCCTGTGGCGCAACCTTATCGAAGATTACCACCAAGTGAAAGCACACCTGAACGATCTACTAAAAAAGGGAATTATTACAACCAGCACTAGCCCGTATGCGGCACCGATAGTAGTGGTAAAAAAGAAGTCAGGGGAGATAAGACTGTGTTGTGATTACCGGAAATTGAACAATATCACAAGAAGGGATGCATTCCCCTTGCCTCGTATTGATGAATGTCTTGATGCGTTGGGGGGAGCAAGATTTTTTTCTACCTTGGATTTGGCTAGCGGCTACCACCAAGTGGCCATGCACCCCAACGATCAACATAAGACTGCATTTATTTCTCCACTGGGACTGTACGAGTGGACCCGTATGCCGTTTGGTCTAACTAATGCGCCTGCTACATTCCAGCGAGTTATGCAGAGTGCTATGAGTGACTTTCTATTTCAAATAATGTTGGTGTACTTGGATGATATACTAGTTTACTCAAAAACTTGGGAGGACCATCTAAAAAGATTAGAACAAGTGTTTCTCCGTCTTAGGGAGATAGGAGTAAAGCTGAACCCAGACAAATGCTGCTTCGGTTTGAAATCGGTACATTTTTTGGGTTATGTGATTTCGGCGGATGGCATCGCCACTGACCCAGATAAAATTGCAGCTGTTAAAGAATGGAAACAGCCAACAACTACAGTAGAGGTCAGATCATTCTTGGGCTTTGCTTCCTATTATAGAAAATTTGTACCTGGTTTTGCAAAAATTGCCGCACCATTGCATGACTTGGTAAACAAAATGACAAAGAAACACAGTAAGGAGAAAAAGAAAGGCAAAACACAACTGATAGGTGAATTATGGACTGATGAATGCCTGAACTCGTTTAAGCTACTGAAAAAGGCTTTGACAGAGACGCCGATATTAGGATACGCAGAATGTGACAAACCATTTCGGCTAGAAATTGACGCCAGCTCGAAAGGTCTGGGAGCTGTGCTATCACAACAACAAGAGCAAGGTTTCAGGGTTATTGCGTATGCCAGTCGAGCTCTGAAGGAATCAGAGAAGAACATGACAAATTACAGCGCCATGAAACTAGAACGTTTGACATTAAAATGGGCTGTGACTGAAAAATTCAGGGACTATCTATTAGGTGCTAAATGTGTGGTATACACTGACAATAACCCCTTGAGTCACCTAAAGACAGCAAAGTTGGGATCCATCGAACAGCGATGGGCAGCAGAATTGGCACTCTTTGACCTGGAGATAAAATATCGCCCGGGGCGGTCCAATGGCAATGCGGACGCCTTATCAAGGAATCCTTACGAGAGACCGGGCGATGAGGAAGAAACGCTGACAGGAATATGTGAGGTCAGAGCGTCAACAGATATCCCTCACGGGGTGCAAGTGATGCAAAACGGGCAGACCGGGGTGGAGCACATATCCACAGAGCCCGGACATATGGACATTGGTGATTT